CCTCCTCCTCCTCCTCCTCCTCCCTCCTCCTCCTCCTCCTCCTCCTCCTCCTCCTCCTCCTCCTCCTCCTCCTCCTCCCCTCCTCCTCCTCCTCCTCCTCCTCCTCCTCCTCCTCCTCCTCCTCCTCCCCCTCCTCCCCCTCCTCTCCTACATCCTTTCTCACCGACACTTACCCTCTCTATTCTCTTGCGGAACTTCTCCTGGTCTGTCAGGATCTCCCACTCATTCAGCTGCTTTTTCTCAGACAGCACCACCCCTCCCGTCGCGTTCAGGACTCTCCTCCTCGACTCCTGAGCCTCCGTCCTCAGCGTCTCCTTGCGGAACGAGACGACCATGGTAGCAAGAAAAAAGTTCCACAGTATCCAGTTGCCGACAAAGATCAGCCAGAGGAAGAAGATTGCGATCGCAGGCCCAACATTGCTTGCTGCGAGGATGAAGACGGCTGACCAAGCATCTCCCGAGATGACTTGGACGGCAGTTTGACATGCTGCAGCGACAGAGGATGAGTCAGGGAACGAGAGACGAGCGAGGGTCGAAGGGGAGGACGTCGTACGAGGAGGCAAGAGGAGGAGCAGGAGGAAGAAGAGCAAGGCTGGACAAACCAGAGAAGAAAGTGTCGAAGTTTGTGCGAGGGACGGCACCCAGGAAGGAGGGGAAGATGGGGGAGCGAGGAGAGACTCCGCTCCGCACGGTCGTCGTGTTGAAGTGGCTCGGAGCAGAGAGGTAGGAGAAGCCCAGCCTGGGGCTGGCGAGGTAGGTCATGCCAGTGCTGCTCGAGCTGAGGTTGACAAGGATGGCAGGGAAGTCGTCGACCTCCGGGAGGGGACTGGACCATGGGGGGATCGAGAGCTTGAGTCGAGCTCCGTAGGTGAGGAGGGACTGGAAGGTCTGCTGGTCGGTCGGGCGGACTAGGAGGCTGTCGCCGAGGAGGCTGAGGCCCAGGACGGCACCGAGGAAGATGAAGAGGAGCTGGAGGGAGAAAATACTGATCAAACCCTCCAGGCTGTCTAGGATCCCCTTGATCTGCATCTGCAGCACCGGAAACTTCCCCATCAACTTGGCCAGGCGGACTAGCCTGGCGGTCCGGAGGACGGAAGCTCCTCCTCCTCCGTACTCGAGGCAGGCGTACTTGTTGTCTGCTGTCAGTTGGCAGCGCAGAGAGGCGATGGTGGTCTGAAAGAAGGGTCAGAGCTGCTGGAGGAGGAAGGAGGGGATGAACCTCAAGCTCTATCAGGGAGACGACAACCACTGCAAAGGTGGGAGGATGAGAGGCGGAAGTTTAGGGGGAAGAGGGGCAGAAGGAGGAGGAGGAGGAGGAGGAGGAGATCGTTCTGTTAGTAACTCTTGAAAGAGGTTCGATCATACCGGCAAAGTCGATGATGTTTTGGCTTTTGTTGATGTACCCGACGATGCCGTACACGAGGACCTTGAGCACGAGCTCGAGGACGAAGACAGCCGTGAAGACGAAGCTCAGCACGTTGAGGGCGGCATGGAACCTCAGGTAGCCGCGGGGACTCACCCAGGCCTTGCCTGGCACGCTGTCCGGGTGATGCTCGAGTGCCTGCGTGAGTGTACTGATGAGGACAACAGCGCCGATGAACTTCTCGAGGGAGGAGGAGAACACCAGCTCTCTCATCAGATTCTTGATGCGATACCTCAGCAGGCTGAAGTTGTCCACAAGGAACGCAAGGATGTTCTTTCTCCCCTCTCCCTTCTCGACTCCCAGCCGCAGCTCCTCCTTCTCCATCTCCTTGAGCACCAGGTACACCTCTTTCCACGTGTTGAAGGCCCTGCCGAAGTTGATCCCCTCCATCAGCCCGTTCCTGCACCCAAGGCGGACCAGGACCGACCTGACTTCCCCCAGCCTCCTCTTGTCGATCTTCTGCATCATAATCACCTCGTTCCCTTCCTCCGTCGCCCTGTAGTGGGCGAACCACTTGTAGAAGGCCTTGGACAAGAGCGGGTTGCGGATCCTCTTCTCTACCTTGAAGACTGTGGCCACGTACTGGTCGTTGGAGACGAGTTTGAGCCTTTGGGTGATCACGGCCAAGAACAGGTTGGTCGCCAGGGTCGGCCCGATCATGACGAAGATGATGAAGATGGAGAACGAGACGAAAGAGCAGCTGTCCATGGTCGCGTACATAATGTCTGCCCAACTGTCCAGCGTGAAGATCTGGAACATCTTGAGTGAGGCAGAAAGCGTGTCGTCGAAGTTCAACGAGTCAGCCAGAGGGTCGAACATCCGTCCCACGGGCAGGCACTGCTCGCCAACCCCGCAAGCGTACGTCCCTGCTGCGATGGACCGCGGCATCGATCTGCCAAGGTCACAGGAGCGAACTTTGCTCTGCACCAGCAGGCCGGTGTCGAGGTCGAAGCACCTGCTCTTGAGCCGGCCTTGGAAGAGGCAGACGTTGAGGATGCCGATGTTGATGCACATGATGATGCAGACGGTGAATGAGACGGCGAGAGGCTTCCAGGTCTGAGCGAGCACGATCAGCGTCACTCGCATCGACTGGAACCTTGAGATGGCCCTGAAAAACACATCAGGAGGGCAGACAGGCCAAAATGCCGTCGGCAGACCTCAAAGGACGAAGAATCCTCAAGGATCTGAGGAGCAAACCAACGTCAATAAAGCCAACCATGAAGTTTTCTACATGAGCACCTGAGGGCAGACAGCTGCAGCCCTCCACTGAAGAACGGCAGAATCTCCAACCAGCCGATAGCCACCACTGCGATGTCTAGAAAGTTCCAACCGTCGCTTCCAATGCTGTTGGGGTGACCCCACAGCCCACTCGCCACGATGCGGAAGAGAATCTCAAGAGAGAAGATGACCGTGAACGCGTATGACGCTGAGTTGAGAATGAATCCCTGCCATTTCGAAGCATCACAACGCACAAAGAAGGCAGATGGAGCAGACTGCGCTCACCCTCAGGGAGACGGGCAGAGGAGGTTTCTCCACAGGGTCATCCATCGCCAACATCAGGCTGTTCAGCAAGATGCACAGTAGCACCAACCTCGGCCACCAAATCCACTCAGTTGTGGCGATGAGAAACAGGCGGACCGGGTTGTTGAGATCAAGGCAGTACATCACTCTTGCTGGGTACCTTGCAGGGTCCGGCCATGGCACAAACTTGCGAGCCATCTGCGCTTTTCGATCCTCCTCCTCCTTTGCTAGCATCTGTCCTTTCACTTCTTGGAGAATTAGGTTGTAGTCTTCCTTGTTCAGCCAATACCCTTCATTCTGAAGGAACCTGTCCAATGCCAAGTGGGGAAATCGAATGTCCTCCTTGTAGATGGGAATTAGAACCTCTTTTCCGCGCAAATTGACCTGCCTCTTGTCAGATCAAGACTACCAGCAGGGCAAACAGGGCAGACCAAAGCTCTGATGTAGATAAAGTCTTCAAATATTTCTGGGTCAAATCGAGACGTGGATATCTTTGATTGGAGAGTTTTGACCTCATGCCTGTTAAGGTTTTGCCCCTTTGAGGTGATTTTGACATCTTCGTCGAAGACATCTCGTACAACTTTAGTCCTATCTTCCTCCTTCTTTCTCTTGTTCATCTCCCCTACTTCCTCCCGCCGTCTCTCAGTTTTCGATTTTCCTGCAGAAATTTGGACTCGGGCGACAGTTTCCTCTGGCCGATAACTCTTCCAGCTTTGAAATACAAAGAGTCCTTCCTTTGCTTTCCGGAGCCTTACCAGCTGTTCCTCTATCTCAGCCTTCAGAGTTTCTTCCATCCTCCTCTTCTTCTTCAACTCCGCGAGGCTGTATGCATTTCGATCCTTCACCTCGCTCAACTGCTTCTGCAGCCTCTCCAAGTCCTTCTGCTCCGTACGGATCTTTGCCCTAAAAGGGGCTTCCGCTGGATCCTGTGGGCATGCCTCAGACACAGCAATGGGGTGAAGCAGAAGCCCGACATACCTGTTCTTCCTCTCTATCAGTCTCTGCATCCTCTGCCTCCTCTGCCTCCTCCTGCTCTTGCCGCTGGCCTCCATTCCCATGCGCCATGGCTGCCATGTCCCGCCAGTCAACTTTTGAAATCTTTTTTGAAAATCTGCTCTTTTGAGAGAGCAGGCCAGCCATTCCAAGCGAGTACCCCACCTATCACACTAGGCACCTAGAAACTTCAGTGCCTACCAGCAGGGGTGTTCTGTCTGTTGTTTTACTTGAAGATGTAGGGTGGGTAGTGAATTAAGGGGGGTAGGGGCAGATGGTCAAAACAAACGGAAAACGGAATACGATGCGAGAGCATGGAGGGGAGAACGAGAGGAGGGAGAATATTGCGACAGGAGGCAGGGGATGAGAAGTGTGAAAGAAGGGAACCAAACACGCCGAGGAGAATGGAGATACCGAGAGGAAGATGTATGAGCGGCAAGCAAAGAACAGAAGCTAAACTGATCGAGCAACTGAGGGGGGGAAGCGAGAAAAAGAGAGGCGAGGGGATGGGAGACGAAAGGGAGAAAATGAAGAGATGACAGAGAGATATATCAAAGTCAAATCAAACAGGCAAAAGTTGAGATAGTGAAGGTCAGGAAGCCAAAGACACCGCCGGGGGGGGGGGGGGGGGGGGGGGAGGGGGAAGGAGTTTAGCCTGAGGCAGCAGTAACAACGGAATGGAGTTGGATTTGCACATCTAGAGTTTCTTTTAGTTGCCCTGGGACTTGACTTGACATCGTTCCTGCAGCTAACAATGGAAGTATCGTGAATCAGCCCAAGACTCAAAGAGCTGAAATAGCAGAATGGCGGCAGAGGGTGTCGAGATGCTAGCCTTGATTGACTCGAACTCAGAGGCGACTGATACTTATGAGCACTACTCCAAGCGTGGACCAGATGAGCACTATGACATGCTGTTTGTTGACGCCAGCACTCCACGATCGGAGCAGAGCTCGAAGAGACTTTCATCGAGGAAGGTTGTCAAGCAGAAAGAGCCAGGATGGCCGTACATGACCAAGATGACGGACTTGATTCGGCCGAGTACCGCAACTCCTTCCTCTAGGGTGATGGGTAGACCGCAGTCCAGTCGCTCCGTATCCTCTAACATCTCCAACGTTTCCTCCATTTACTCAACGTCTTCGAGTGAGGTGGGAGTCTTCCTCCCCTTTGCCCTGTTTGGATGATTTCTTGCAAGCAGCCAAGACGACTGTTGCAAGCCAAGATATCGCGAAAGCAAGCAGAGGAGGACTATCATACCTTGCAAAATCGGATCCGCCGTCTGCAGATTGAAGCGCAGAGGTGACCCATCATTCTTGCAATGCGTGGATTGATCCTTCACTAGGGCGAGTCACAACATGATAGAAACGAAACATAGGGTATCAAGGTTTGGTCAAAGATTGCAGTCGATGAATGTGTTTCTGCTGCAGGCTGAAGAAATAGTGAAGCTGAAAGCTCAGAATGAGATGCGCGCGAGGGAGAAAGAGCTGCAAAGGATACAGGAGGAGCAGCAGCTGGAGCGCGAGAGACAGCAGAAACTACTATTTCGAGCCCAGAGGAAAGCCTCGATCCAGGTGAGAAATGCTGGCGAAGTCTTGATGGAAGCTCACGATTTAGTGTAGAGCGCAAGGCAAGACCTGGTCATGAGCAAACGACGTATGGTACAACAATTCAGGAAAGAGAAGCAAACGATCGCGCAGGAGGTTCTTGTAGTCCCCCTTGTGAGCATCCCTTGACCTCATGCAGGCATGGAGGGCAAGATTGGCGGAGGAAGAGCGAGCCGCGAAGCTCAAGTATGAGACCTACGCGCGGGAGAAGCTCGCGATGCATATGAGATATCGACTGAAGCAACAAAATCAAATAAGGACGAGCAATGTGAGATTGCATACCATTGCCCTCATTCCAGCATGACAGCCGTTACAGTCGTACCTGAATCGGGTGGCTTACGAAGATCAATTATGCGCGGAGAGGAAAAAGGAGATAGCAAAGCTAGAACTAGAGGAGAAGCAGGTCGATTTTCTTTGATCAACAAGTGGAGTTGACCTATGCCTTTCTCAGCTTCTCATGAAGCTCGAGGCAATCCAGGACAAGCAGCGTGAGACTCGCTGGTTCCGTTTTCTCGTTCAACTGACGATGAGTCGCAGGAAACGCGTATGCGGAGCTGGAAGTTGCGCTGGAAGTTTGAGAAGGATTCATTCAAAAGATACTGAGTCGTTTAGTGTTTCGCGCTCGTTCCATCGCTTCAAAACGAGCCTGCATAAAGCTAGGTCTATTCTCGTCGAAACAGAGCTCGATGCCTGCCCGGATCACCTCATACCACGAGTTCATCTCCTCCTTGATCGCTCCGATCAACGTCTGACATGACCGTATCTTGTAGAAGTGCTCGGAATTCTCCAGCACAACCTCCATGAAGCTCGAGTCATTGGTTCTGACCCTTCGTACCTTCATCCCCTTGTTATAACGCGAATATTCCCGAGCGCTCCCGTTCATGTCATCCAAGAAGGCGAGGCTGACCTTGTTACTAAGGAGATACGTAGGAATGTATGTTCGTTTCCTGGCGCTCTTCTCGTCGAATGCCAGATGGTCAAGGAGGGCTTCAACGACATTGAACCGCTCGTTGTGCCGGCCTGAGTACACAAGACACCATCCGCCCTTGTAGTACTCCTTGACTTTGCTCTGCACAACCGGCCCTTCGATCATCCCCAGCCTCTTGCACGCCTGCAACTCCGCTATCAGAACCTTCTGGAGCGATTGGCCGTCAAGGAAGTCGTTGCTCGGATGCCGTCTAGCAAGCTTGACCTTGTAGGCGAAGACGTAGCGTCCAGTCGGAGCGACGGCCTCCTCCTCCTCGGCTCCTCGTATCTGCTTCACCTCCTCGGTGCTCAGTCCCATCGGCCACAGCTTCTGCGAGGTCGCAGCATCACTGAACGAATCTTCGTCTTCCAACTCATCCTCTAGCGGCTCCGGCAGGGAATGGCTGGGATACATCGCCATGAGCCTCCCTCGACTCGCTCCCTTCCTGTTGTGCACGGCTCCCTTGACATAGCCTGTAATAGGCCGAGTCCAGCTCTGACCCAGCGGGTGCTGGAGAGCGGGACAGTACAAGACGCGGTGGAGAACAAGGGAGACGACAGATCCTGGCTTCCCGAGGAGCATTCTTGCGAGGACATGAGGGGGGCAGTCGTGCACTTCCGTCTTTCCTATCTTCAAAAGGACGTCACCCATCTGCACACAAGTCAGCCACAGCCACATGTGGAAAGTTGAACAAGCAGGTGAAGTCCTACCTCGATCTTGCTTGTTCCGAAAGCGACGCCTCCTTCTTCTAACCCGACCACGACGAGTCGAGACGCTTCCACTCCGTCTCCATCAGGGATCGAAGTCGTCGAAAATGCAATCCCGACACCTGCTGGCTCCTCCGCCGCTGCCTTGACCGAAGACTCGCTGAAAACGTTGTTCCATGTAGCTGAAAGGCCATCGGCAAGAGTTTGAAAGACGTTGCTGTTACCCTGATCCTCCTTGTCTACCGTCTCCTCCTCCTGCTCCTCCTGCTCCTCCTGCTCCTCCTGCTCCTCCTGCTCCTCCTCCTCCTCCTCCCTTCTGTTCGCTGCCTGGTTCCCCAGCATCCCCTGCCAGCGTCGCCTCCCAAGGCGATCACGGCGGCTCACCAGCGTGACAATCGTAGTCATACGAGCTTCGGGATTTAATAACGGAAATTGTAACCAACTGAATCAAGCGTAACCGTCGTAACGCGATGTCTGCCCGACAAACCCCGACCAGCTGCTCGATCATACTCTCCTTCCTCCCTCCCTCCTCCCTTCCGACCCCTCCCACCCCCCCCTTCTCTCTTCTCTGTCGAGTTGTGCTCTCCTCTTCCTTGTACTTCCCAGCCTGCCGATGTGAAGGTCCTGGTGGATCGATCCGTTTCCTCCCGGCCATTGTGCCCTAGTTAATGCCAGGCTCGGCCATCGTCGCTTCACTGCCATACCCGACAGTGGTTCTTACCTTCTGAGATCAGGAGGGAAATCATGATGAGCAGAATATCATTCATTTTGCTTCTCGCCATAGTCAGTCTTGTTGATGGTCAAACTGAGAACAACCGAGTCTGTGATGATGACATGCGGCCACTCATTGTCATATCGCTTCCGCTCAAGGCTGACAACACCAACTCTGTTGAGTTCAGATTTCAATTCATCCGACCTCCTCTCACCTTTATCCTGAGCATCCAGATCGAATCCTTGACAACAGGCAGCAAATTGAACCGCCAAGTCCTTATCACTGCATCCGACAACTTCAGCATGACAAGTTTTTTTGAACCTGACGTACGAAAATCAACAAATTTGCGAAGAAGAAAGCTGACTGAGCTGGACAGGATTGGAGATTGACTGCATCCATCCTTTCTGAAGGAACCTTGCTGCAAGCGAACAGCAGCAGGTTCACCGTCGGGCTTCCGCGATATGCCGAGCACGTGGTTTGCCTGGGAACTCATCGAACGCTGGAGAGCATCCAAGAAGCGATCGCTAACAAAAAAGTTCGAGATGTCCCACAGCGATGGAAGGTTTCTGATGCCTTGACCACTAGGGTGGAGCTTACCTGCGCTTCGGTGATGGCGACATCAGCGCAGCGTACCATGGGACCGATGAGATGCAGACGCCAGACAAGAACTTGAGCCGAGAGATCCAAGCGGCGTTGGGTATGCAGGTGACATTCGGCTCGCTGATCATTTTAACTGCAAGCCGGTAATGTACGCATGGAAGGGTGAGCATGTGTTTAAAGCTCTCATGATCACAAGTCATTTCTTTGACTGCCTTGAAGCACAAATGGCACCTGGTCAGCAGAAGGACATGATTTGTTTGCGGACTGAAGCAATGGCAGGGAACCATGAAGTTTCGAGCAAAGACTCTCTTGCCATGGTGGAGATGGCATATCCATTCTGGAGGCCTCTTCCGATCAGGAACTCATTGGTCAAGCCAGGCTTCTAGTCGTGACGTGCCCTCAGGGCTGTCTACTCAAATTGCGCTCTTGCACATGCAGCTTCAACCTACGAGAGCATCGCCTTGGACTTCCTTGAGACGTAAATATCGATCCATGAATACTGCCAGCAATTGACAAGTTGCAGTCTCCGAGCGTCGAAGCCCTCGTTGTTCATCGGGAATGAGCATATCGACGTCGATCTCTTGGATATTCTTTTCGGCCCTCAGGTTCGTTGCACCTCCACGTGTCTTGAGCATGACATGCTTGGAGTGCGTGCATGTCAAAGTGCCTTCGAGCAACGCTTACTCCTCCATCGACTCGATCGAGCGCGAAGCTAGAGATGTGCTCGCAAGGTGACGCTGCCTTCAAGCCTTGCCGTCAAGCAACTGAACGCCTTTACAACGTAAAGTGGAGAATCGTCAACGTTCAGGACCGTCGTACTTGCCCTGGGTGTCTCTACTTCGGCTCTTCAGTATCGCTTGCGAAATCTGGAGAACCTCTTCTTGTTTGACTTTGGGAGGTTGTGTAGAAGGGGCTGAAGCCGCACCTGATCGTTGTGTTAGTCTGTTGGACGCGCTGGCGAAGTGGAGAACAAGGGGAAACACGCCGACGATAATGCCCCCTGCGTGGATCAAGATCTCAGGTTTCAACGCCAATGAATTTCTCAAGGCATTCTGTGCCAGGTAGAGGGCAAGACATGATTTGATGATTGTTTTACGATCTGTCAGAATAGGAAACATCGACGTCACTTGCAAGAGGTACATTGCTGCTGTTGCTGCGCGGCACCTTTCGAACCTGTCGAAACCATAATGAATCATCACTCGCACTGCAGTAACTTGGTTGTTTGCTTCCTCAGGCTATCCACCTCTTTACTGTGACAACGCCGGGAGTCCGTGACTTGACTGGGCACTGAGTGTGCTGTCCCGGAGAGTCTAGCCTAGTAGGGCCGCGGGGGTCTTTTCACTTGAAGTTCGGCGGTAGCAGCCGTGCCCGGCCCTGCCCTAGTGCGGCCCAGCAGAGTCACAGTCCGATCACGGTGCCCCGCGCGTCCGCTCGGCGGGCCCGGGACTCCGGCGTCCGCCGGAATGACTCACCAGGCTCAGCGGCTTGTCCTCGCCGTACCGTAGTACTGATGAAAGTTTTCACTTAACTTTGAGCCTGAAACAAACATTGATGGCACTGCAGTGGCCGGCCGCCGCCCGCAGTGGCGCGGCGCGCCCCGGGGCCCGCTGAGCCAGCGGCTTCCCAGGCCGGCGGCGGGCCCGCCGCTAATCCGGCGAGTCCCAGATTATCAGACTCCGGGATTCTGCATGCCGGTACTGAGCCGGCCCCCCCGGGCGGCCGGACACAGTCACTGAGTTGAGTCACATGAATTTGAGTAAAATAAATGACTCATGATGGGATTTTCTGCGGCAGCAGCAGAATAATAAGAGAAGAAGACGAGAACCAAACTTATCGGCCTATCAAACAAACGAGGCAGACTTTTCCTTCTCGTACTCTTGTTCGAGGCGTAGGCCCCTTGTCCCGGCTCCGAGTCCGATGGTGGGGCAAGAGCAGATCATGGGAGGTCAGAGGTTGATGCAAGAACAAAGATGCTGCCTCCTTCACAGCTCGAGTCTTGTTGTCTTCTCTCCTATCACGAACCCAAGAACCAGCCATGATGTAGCTGATATTCATCTCCACTTCATTCAAGTTCCTCACAATCGAGCGCGCGCTCCGTCTCTGCCGTTGCTCTTCATCTCCCTGCTACACTTACTGATGCTTATCACATTCTCTGACTCAAGGATATGAGTTTACCTTGATAGCGCTGTTGCATTTGTCCTTGGTTCACGAACCAATGATGAACAGAGTTTGATTTTTCTGAACATTGACGCTTGTCCTGTAGATGTCGGTTAAGGCTCACAGATACTTGTCTGTACGAGCGGTTGTTCGTTGGAAGGGCAACAACTGTATTTCCTGAGACCTTGACTTGCTGATACAAAAGATTCTATCGCTGCCATGTCGCACTCGAACAGGAATTTCACAGTTGTGCGAGCTCCGATGCCGTCCTTCTGCTTGACGGGGGACCCAGTTGGGCAGCAAGACGAGAAGCTTCAGTTGACGATACGATATGGCGAAGGAGACGACGAGCTTCAGATCAACAGAGAATCGCTCTACTTCCCCAGGTGAATATGCTTGCAATCCTACACGTCCATCTCTGACTTTGGGGCCAAGAATCAAAGAGGCGCGAGAGGGCACGCCCAACGGTGGGAAGCGAGCTTGTGATCTGATTGCTCGAGGTAAGGATAAGCTGCGGGATGGGAAAGGCGATGGCTTACTGAGATCTCATGGTCAGCTCCCACCGTCAGACTGCAACAGCCAAGCCCAAGGAACCGATTGAACTCGGCGAGGCACAGGAGACCGCAGTCGAGCACCTCGCGGGTGAGACCTCCAGGCATCGCAAGTCAGCTCTGAGACGCTGCTGCAGATGCCGCAAACTGATGCGGAGGCTACAAAATCAGGAGATCCGAAAGCAAACAGATTCGTCGGATCGTCGTCAGGCGATCAAACTCCCTCGTCTGCTGATGCCCTGGCCATACAACCTCAGATCAGTGTCCATGTCAGCAAGTCTGAGGTGAAAAGTGGCGAGCAAGGTAGCAATAATCAAGCTGGAAGAGATGATCCTGAGACAGCAAGGTAAACAGATTAGAGTCTTCTCCTGTAAGATCGTATAATCCTTTTGATGCAGTTTGGTTTGTCCACGAAGTCCAGTGAGAGAATCTCAGGTAAATCAGTGCGTGAGTTATCGGACATGCCTGAATTCTCACCCACAGCCCACCAAACCTCAAGGACAGCAGAAGAAAGTTGCTGTGGTGAACCTTGAACAAGTTGAATTGACAAATAACCCCGACGTCTCTCGAAATAACAAGATGGAGCTTTCCTTGCAAGACATCAAAAACTTCAGGATGAACAAGGACAAGGAGAAGATAAGACCTTTCTCTGCAAGGTAGGCAGCACCGCCCGTCTTAGCTCATGCCCTGTGCTAATTCATTTTGACAGGATCGTGAAGCGAGTGGAATGGAAGGGTAAAGACCTGTCAGACGTGCGGGCGTCCAGGGCAAACGCCATTCGAGTGCAGGGCAGCTGCATCAAGAGCAACGCTAAAGACATGCCGACACAAGGGTCAACGGCAAGAGCAGCACCAGCAAGGGGAGCAATCGAGAGTTCAACGGAAGAGGAAGTGCTGAGCTGTGAAGAGGAAGGGGACATCTCCTCAGAGAAATCAAGGTCAAGATCCTTAGGGTCGTCGGACAGTTTCTTCGAAGTAGATGTCGCAGAGCCTTTGCTCCTGGACTGCGAACGAGCAAAATTGTTGGACGGGACTGTCGACCAAGAAGAAGTTTCCTCCCCCAACTCGCTGGATTTCTTTGGGTCTGTTGAATACCAGTACCTGATACCTCAAGACCAGAGTTTGGACACGAGCATTTTTCCAGACGACAAGAAGTCTGAAAGACCAAGTCAGTGCAAGGTTGGGAAGTTGGAGGGAGGACGAGAGCGAGGGAAATCCGCGGCATTTCAAGACATTGCTCTCCCGGATATCAAGTACAATCTTGTGTCAGACGAGACTAAAGATAACCCTGTTGAACAAGAAGATCATCTGGAAGACTCCAAGTGGGACCATGGTCGTTCGCGCTCTCCCTCGTCAAATCATCGCAGTCCTAGTGCAGCAAACATGGAAAGTCCCAGCCACGCTCCCTTTATCGGGTTGGACGATCCCATCTTGTCACAGGTGCTGCAGGACGCTGCACAGCTGACTTCAGGCAACAACCATGTATCCGAACTCGAGTTTGACATGGAAGGCAATGGAGATATGGAAGGCGATGTTGATATGGCCGATGAGACATCGCATGGAAGGGCTGTGATACATTGTACAGAATGTGGGAACAGAATGCTGTTGGATGACAGCTTCTTCGAAACGAAGCCCGTGATCGTGTTCAAGTATAGCAACTTTGATGCGATGAACATTGATCAAAGCGAGAGAAATGGACAAGATATGCAAGCACACACGAGAGGAACAGACACGTCGTTTGAAGAGAGATTAGAGAGCATATGCAGCTCAATGGAAACTCAAATCAACAATATTCTTTTCAGACTGTCGTCACTCCAGGAGGCGCAGCAACCCCCAAAGCATGCGAACGGTCGTTCCAGCTGAAGTACAGTCACTTCAAAACACTGCAAATGCAGGGATGTAATGAGAATTCATCTTTACTGATCCGAATGTATATTAACGAAAGAATAGTCGTTATCACTTGAAGCCTATTTCACACAACCTTTCTCGTCACAGAACTGGAATTGCTGTGCAGAAATTTCTTGAAATCAGGGTTCATCGAACGAGGGAGATAATCTTCACCTGTGTCGCTTTCCCGACCTGAGCGTACGTGTTGAGAGGCCGGGTCGGAGTCCTGACATACTTGCTGCTGTCCTCCGGGATCAGATCGAATTGCCTCACCTGCTACCTGTTGAGATCTTACATGCAGGCAAGGAGTTGCCTGCCTGCATTGTCATGCCCTTGTTGGCAATGCGAAGGTACTTGTTGAAGTGCTCTCGCCCTTCATCCCATGCGGCCAACGCAGCCTTGCAGTGAAGTTAAGTGACACTCGATCAATCAGAAAGCAAAAGCGAAGGGAGGAAGAGAGCTGAGCAAGTGAGGGTTACTACCTGCTTATCCTTTTTTTCTACAGCTTCTTTGATCTTGTCACAGGCCAGAATCAGTTCGTCTACCTGGTAAATCATTCACACCGAGACGGCGAAAGGTCACCAACAAACCTGTGCGTTCATCTTACGTTGCTTGGGACCTGTTCCTTTCTCTTCAAATGAAGTGATAAAGACCTAAATTCACAACTTGAGAAAATTCTATCTATCTTGACTGAAGACAATCACCTGCATTGGCAAAAAGAGGGTTCGCTCAAGGGCAGATTGCTTAATGTCGAGCCCAATTGATTTTTTGGAACTGCCCTCCTGTTCAAAGCGAACGATCAAAACGATGTCATCCTTATCGCTTTTCGTTGAATTCATACTTGTGCGACGGATGTAAGCTCGTAAAGTGAAGCTATCTTGTCCCATTCTCCCTTCTCAATCAATGATCGCACTTCCAACACAAAGAAATCTCGGCCTTCTTCGATCCTAGGAGCATATCGAAAGTATGCTCGCTTGAAGCTGTTGAGTGTCATGTCTGCAAATGAATTCTGAGGAAAAAGAGCGCCGAAAATGAGGGGTGCAAGGCCGGTTCGAACGAGCATGTCCCTTCGTCCAATCACGAGTCCTTGCTCTCCCTCCTTTGCAACATTCTCGTTCATTCTCAAGTTGCCGATACCCCTATCGCAGGTCATGCAGGCTACTTGCTTTCCTGACTGGCATTGAGATCGAAGGATCGGCATGGCTCCCTGAAAGCCGCTGGATCCTGGCGCCATGAGCGTCACCGCAGTACACGCAAGCGCAAAGGAGCGCATGGTAGCCGAAGACCTTTCTTTTGTATGTGCTGGAGAACAAAAATAAAAGAAGTAATAAATGTGAGTTCGCCTCAGCGTCCTCCCACACTGTAAAACTTAATCTTTTTTTAAAATACATAAAAAACTTTATAAGTTCATGTACTATCCAGTTCTATTGATGGAGGCTATTACTTTGTATTTCGGTACTGTTCCAATTTCGGAGTGTGCCAATATATTTGCAATGAAATTATCAGAATTTCAGGAATTGATATCAATATTTGAATAATAAAAAGTCCATTTGTGGCGACTGAAGGGAAAATATTTTACCTCTACAAATTGGTAGCATTTTTGTGTCGAAACATCAGTTTTACAACATTATATGTGATTTGATAAATATATTTATTATTAAATTTATTTTTGATTGCCTATTTAGTTCCGACCCTCGACACGCACGAGCAACTTGTGTCCTATGGTGCGACAATTATCCCATGAACATTGTGCTTCACTCCCCTCCCCTCCCCTCCCCCTCCTCTATCCATGTGTCTCTCCTCCTCCCCTGTCACCTTTCCCTTCAGTGTTGATGAATCTTCCCCATCGGCCCCCTGCTATCTCACCTGCCTCCCTCATCGTCCTCTTGCTCTTTCTTCCTCTGTTCCGGAGCACTGACATTCGGATGTTGCAGGGTTGCTTGGGTTTTTACCCATTCAACTTTATTTGACGGCTGAAGCTTTGCTGGTGACGCCAAAACAAATGCTGAGCTACGGCTGTGATGCACCTTATGGACACAAGGCTCTAAATCTTGAGCCATCGAAACAAGAAGCTTGAAACGATTCCCTAGCAGCATGTTGTCGATGTCTGTGTCGTCGTGCTGTCATCCTGTATTGCGAAAATGCTGATGTTTGCTCTCTCCTTCTTTCCGCTCTCACAGGTTGTGGGACGATTTGCTACGGAGGTAACAAACTCATCGGAGTGTTTTCACGGCCGATTTCATCCTCTGGGGAAAGTCCCCGGACACTGCGGCAGAGAGTGCCAGCCTTAAGGGCCAGTCCCTTCACCGCTCGAACGTTGGCGAAGACGACCTCGGTCGGAGCTGTAAGTGAGGGAGGTGGAGACTATCGTCACAGCACAGATATGCAAATGGCAACTTGTCCTGGACAAGAATGCTAACTCAACGGGGCTTATGTTCCTGCAAGCCTTCACGGGTAAGTCTCGTTATTATCTTGCTGTTGTGTCCTGTTGCCGCTGCTAGGGGTCGTGAAAAGAATTGTTTCGGTCGATTCAGTAAACGGAAACCGAAAAAGAATTCCTTGCTGTGTCAATTCTAATGTTCCTACACTCCATGGGGTCATCAAAATTGAGGGCATGGTCTTCGTTGAAGATCTCATAGCTTCCTGACTTCGGCAGCCCTAGCATGTCCTTCCAATCCCTCCATGCGTGCTGCACCAAACCAGGTCAGAACATTTCAAAAGTGTTGACCTGCCGCAATACCAAGTGCAATTGAATCTTGTACCACCTGCACATATTTCGTTCAGTGCCTGACAACAACACTGTATGCGATCCGTGAACATACCGGCTGGTTCTGTTCCTGACTGTCAACACGCATCCAAGTCCTGATGCGGAGGAATGTGTGCACGCTCAATCCTCCAGTATACCTATATGCCATCACGTCAGTATTTCGCATGACCGGGGCGAGATGATATCGGAATCACTTTGCGGTTCCACCAGTAGGAAGAACGTGATTGGGACCGCACCCGTAGTCACCCAACACCTGACATCTCTATCACGAGACGTGAAGAATTTTTGAAATCTCCACCTCAGCAGCATATCGACCGATGAAAAGTCCGCCATAGTTGTTACATTTCATACCGACCTGCAAAACAGAGAATGTAACAGCAATCGTTACAAGCTGGAAAAAACTTGCCTGCATGGCGTCGGCTGTCATAATCTCCAAATGCTCAGGGGCAATCTGGTCGCTGATTTCGATGGCTTCGTCCATTGACTTCGTGACAACACAAAATCTGCTCGGGGGCTCAATTGAGTCGAACAACAGAGCGCCTCTCTGACCCTTTTGCAACAGCTTGCTTTGCTGTATCACAGTTGGGCGAAGGAAGGTCATCAAGCTAATTACATAAAATCACAACCTTATATTCGAATCTGCTCATCTCATACCTGTACTTTGAGCTCACTGTTCACTGCAGTGAGCAATGGCTCGTGAGTGGTGATAAGGATCGGCCGTGATCTGAAGATGCATAAGACAAGAGCATGGCAATGATTTCCACCCACTCCACATCGTGCTCAGCTTGTGCGAGGAGATCAGCTGCAACCTGGACTAGAGTAACCAGCGGAAGAGTTGCAACGCGACAGTACTGTTTTGGGATCTGCAGTCTCATCCGCAATAACCAGCACTTCGGATGGTCCAGCAAGCATGTCGATCGCACACTGACCCATTCAAATTCTATTACCATCGCTCTGGTATTTTCACAAAGAATACAACCTGTCCTTGTACGAGCGATTTCGCAGCTGTAACCCACTGATTTCCAGGACCCACGATGATGTTGCAAGCCGGTATTTTGCCTATTCCCTTCATAGAGCATCTTAGAGCAAGTACAATGTAGTTACATCCTCTACCTGCGCTAAGGCTGCTATGGCTTGAGCTCCTCCCACCTATGTTGAAGATTAAAATGCAGAAATACCACAACCATTGCAAATTAACCTTGAGCATTCCATCGGCTCCAGCAACGTGAGCAGCTGCCTTGGTGACCTTCATGCCTTCATCAGAAACCATCACACACATCAAAAATTCACTGCACCTGGTCAGGATGAGGGCTCGCAACCCACACGTTCTTCACTCCGGCAGCCCTTGCAGTGACAGCCGTCATGAGAACACTGGAGGGCAGCGGGTAGCGTCCTCCTGGCGCATAGCATCCTGCATTCTCGACTGCGCTTACTAGCTGTCCCGCCTGCAAGGAAGTGAAAAATTCACTTCCACCATGCGGAGACAAGGGAATGCAGACCTTTCCGCCCGGGATCACAACTTCGGTGTCTTGAATACTAGCCCTCTGAGCGACGGCAAACTTTTGGATTCTGTCGGCCTTTCACAAGAAGATTAGAACTTCGGGGTTCCAATCAAGGCAGTATCGCACCACGCGGGTAAGAACGCCCTGCTGATCAATGGAAAGAGTATCGTAGGCGGCCTTGAGCTCGTCCTTGTCAGCCACGAGGCTCTCGCCCTCTTTGACCTCGTTGAACTTCTCTGCCCAGTGACGAACAGCCGCTTCCCCTCTTGACTTCACATCCTCGACTATGGTCTTCGATTGCTCGAGGGCCTTGGGGGCCACGGGCTCACTCAGCTCCACCGGCATCTCGTCGCGAGCGCATCGCTTCAGCATGATTCCAAGGGGGATCGTTATATGTGTGCCAGGGGTAGGTGGTAGGACGCACTGGACAAAAGGGGATCAGCAGGGGTAATCTCCAAATATTTGGGGTGGGGGTAATATATCACCGGTACTTTGTATTGGTCATCATGGGTTAAAGTGACCCCATATTTTGTAACAAAGTCCTGTGATGAAATTTTAGTACCCCTTCTATAAGATACCCACCCCCTTTCAAGGCAAGCATGCGCTGGAGAGTGAATGAATGCTTGTGGCACTACCCACCCTCATCATCTGATACCCTACCCTTTTTCGAAGTACACCTGAACCCCAGGACTCTATGATATACGCACCCCTGTCTTCTCTGAGGATTCGAATGGGGTAGGGTAATGTTTCCAGGGGCATCCAATGATGCTACCCCTGGAGACATTACCCCACCCCATGCCCATTCATTAAGTAAAGATTTATGATTATTTGTGTAAATTTGAAACTTGGTATCTTATATCGAAACTGAACCCAACAATTACAGAAAGGATCTCAAATTTGAGGGGCTTTTTAGCTTTGGAACTGTGTCAAAAATTTGAATAAAAATTGAAAATTAGGAGAATTATTTGAAGTCCTGGGAAACATTTCGTAACTGGCCGCAGCACATCATGGCGCCGAAGAAGAAATCCAAGACTGAGAATGGGAGCAAAGTAACGGATTCCGGCGAAGATGGTTGGGAAATCGGACCTGGATGACTTGTCTTGGCGCTTTGTTGCGTTCTCGCCCCTGCTCATCTATTTTTTGTCCCTCTACTGCATTTCTGTCCTTGATGTAGGCGGTGCTTTACGATGCCCTAACTCTTCCCTTTTGCTGCAGCTGGAGAGGTGGATAGCAAGATGGAGGGCATTGAGACTGCAACAGGAGATACAGCTCTCTCTGTCGCCACGCAAGGAGCTGCTGGAGGAGTTGGGCCAGAGGCGCCAAAACTCCAGATTGACAGTAAGTGTTTGTTGTTACATTGTACAAATAGGAGTTATAGTTGTGGAAATCTTTGCGGGATTGCTTTGCAGTGCCCTTGCAGTCTCTCTTGCTTGATATTACTCGATTCCTATTTGGATTTTACCTTGTTTTTCTGTTGCTGAGAAGATCCGCCTCCGACTCACCCACCCACACCCCAGCTCCTTTTGTGCCTTTCCTAGCAAGACGCACGCGCGGATTGTATATAGTTCTTATGATTTCTGAAGCCAAGGAATCCAGAGGGATGTTTGTAATATGTTTCTCTCAACAGATCTGGAAAAAGTGCAGTACACTGCTGGCAAATCTCTCAGTGGGTTCAAAGCTGGGGATCTCGTTCGTTGCGAGATTGAAGCGAAGCATATCACTCAGGTTGTCATCCTTGTGAATATTACATTGTTCTTATTTTTTTCATTCTTTCATACCCATGAAAACTATCCCTTCGTTTCTTTTTTGTCTTTGTTTTGAATTTTGAACGCAGGACAACTTGGGTATCAAGGAACGCAGAATTTGGGGCAACGAGCCCTACACGGACGATTCAGACCTTGTTGCCATTGCTGTGCACTCAGGAATAATCACTCCTACTGCTGAACCACCGAAGTTTTCTGTTCTGGTGAGTACCTGTAAAGATTGGGGAAACTAACATGGCATGTCGATCTAAATTTTATGGGTAGGTCATGATCATGCGAATTTTGGAAGGGCAGTCGGTTTATACGAGCAGTATGAGGAATAGTTTGAAGTCCAGATCACTGACGGGCTATGAGCATAAAGGTGCAAAATATCTCTTGTCTTGTTCTCAAGATGTTACATTTTGTCGTATAAATAGGCCTTTCGATGAGATTGGAGGGGAGTGCAATCTGCAAAACGACAGAGGATGAAGCCAAATTGACGCACGTGGTGAGGCCGACTTGGGATCACCTATCTTTCTTCATATAAAAGTGATGTGCTCCTGCCTTCTAGGTTCTTCGCCCTGTTCGATTGGAAAGATATTCCATCAAGAGTCACAACGCTTTTTCTGAAGCTCGTGTCATTTTCAGCTTGAGTAAGTCACTTAGAGTTGACGAAGATGTCATGACCCTCGTGGTAGGCAATGAACCTGCATTCAAATATTCATTGTCCGTGGTAGCAGACAGATCGCCAGATGCAAAGGTATGCAGATTTGATATTAGGCTTGAGCTATGTTTCCCCTGGTCATTATTGAAACCTCCCTCCTCAATTTCAGTATTGGACATCAGTTCGGTTGCAGACACAGTCAATGTACGCTGAGACCAGGTAAAATGAAAGCGAGTGGGGTGCTTGTGCATCTCTTTCTATGAGGGCCTAACTGCTCTCGGATCAGGGATCGCAAACGATATGAGCTTTCGCTTGAAAATCATGTTCAAGGACAACCTGTGCGGAGCTATTCTTCTTTGCATTCCCGACATGATTGCTGTGTCGCAGGCGACTTACCGCTTTGCCGAATGTCTCAAACCAAGAACCACCAGTAAAGCTGTGATCCAAGAGGCTGGGGTCGAGCTTCCTTTGCCAGTATTTCCTTCCTCAGCTCTTTCCTTTCAGGTCCCACTGCCAGAGGCTGACTGTACCATCGTGGAGAAGGGATTGCTGTGGAACCAAATAGAGTAAGGATCGAGGGTCATCGAGAGCTCTCTCATTTATTTGCATTTCTCAGGTGGGGCGTGTCTTCTGTCCGCATTCGAGGAAACGTCTACAAGCTTGCCTGCCTTTTCTTCCTCCCAAATTCTTCCCCAGTTTCAACTGGCAAGGAGTGAAGCACATGATACGTGGGATTCAGGAAGCTTAGTAGATCGTATGGGTGATCACTGAGAAAAGCTCATGATTGCTGCGGCCACTGATTTGAGACAAATGCGGCCGAACGTTGTCTTGGCGGCGCCTCAGTGACTATCAATGCATGGCCCCAAGTTGGTCCGATCACGCCGGGACAGTGCAATGATGTCACTGCTGTCCCTGCCGCCGCCCGTATGCATCAGCTGCGGACGAAATATTGCAGACTCATGTTGACGTGCATGTTGAGGCTGTTGACAGCCGCTTTCGCCGTTCATCGCAAATGGTCTCCGACTCTCGCCTTTGATCAGCCTGACCGGGACTGAGACTCTTCAAAGTGACTGCTGGCATGTTTTGATAATAAATCTGCTAATCATTATGCGGCGCGGGTCAGTTGTCTGAGCGGCCTGCCATGGGCCACGGAACTTCCGCCAAGTTGCCGCCCGGCAGGCTTTCCGAAGTTCGAACTTGCTTTGAAAGGGCCGCGGCTTGCCAATCTGATGCCAGAGTCACGCCGCGCGCGACCGGCCGCCGACCGTGCCGGCGGCTGCGCACTGCAGCACGGTCGGCATCATCCCGGCGATCATCATCGGCGGATGGCCACGGCACGGCCCGGGCCCGGGCCGCGGCGCCGGGCTGCCGCGGCCCCGGAACTGCACTCAGTGATGGTGAACTTCGGACTGAGACGGCGACCGTAAAGCCAGTGACCGTCTGAACTTGAGAAAACCGATCTTGTGAAATGAAATTTGAACTTTTAATTTCAATGTTTTACAAGCAGTTTAGAAGCTGCGGCAGTAAGCCAACAGTTAATAACAATTTTTAAAACAAAAGTGTATTTTGAAGGAAATTTTGAGAGGGACATCGCTGTTTAGATTGTACTGTCAAAAATATTTTAAGAGTAGTAGACTTATTTACATGCTGATGAGACTACGACAGAAAGGGTCAGGTGAAATCTGACATAATGGACTCCAGATTTCATTTTAGCCCAGCCAATTTTGTATCTTCTATAAAAAGTTTCTGTTCAACGCCCCAAGATTGCTTTGAAAGTGCCAGGAATCTAAAACTTATATTATCCAAGTACCAACTTTATAAACTAATATGACCAGGGTGTAGGGCGCTAGGCTTTCTTCGCTTCCTAGGACAGCGTCTTAGGCTAGCCAAGCTGATGCCGAGAACGATGGGAAGGGAGGCTGGATAAATGCTGAGAAGAGAGTTGAGAGGAAGAGAGAGATCTGAGAGGTCGTGATTGGTCGTGAAGATTCTCATGGAGCATGGATCGTATGAGTGAAGGTTTCTTGACAGGCATGAGTGTTTGTGTTTGTCTGCTATGTCGTTGAATGTTCTTGGAGGGTAGTTGAGGGTTTCAGGACATGTAAGTCAGGGAAGTGGATCAATAATAGTTGGTAGAATTCATACGTATGTATAACGAGCAAGCAAGAATATTTTTTCCCCTCCCTTATCGAATCCACGTGAGTAGTGTGCCTATCTTGAACAGAACCCTGCTGCACTCGTATTTTTAAAACTTTTCAATGCACAACCTTGACCCCAAGCACTTTCAGCAGCAAGCAGTAGCATCTTTTGGAACTGAATTAGATTTTGCGTGAATGATGGGTGTAGCACTGCATTTTTGTTCTGTTATTCTTTGCCAACATTCCATGATGTGTATGGCGTGTCGTACAAGGCATAACGAACACGTTTACAGGATTGGAGGCCAGTATCTTACGGGCTTGACGTCGCTACATCAATTTTCCTGGGAGGATGGCCAATCCCGTCCCAGCTCCACATACAGGAGCACACTATCAGGCCAAAAATGGATATCATGTCAAGACGTGGGGTGACGGGAGCCGGTGAGTGTCTCATTTGCATTGTGAAAGATGGTAGATGCAAATGACGGCATCATAGATATGAGGGAGAATGGGTAGAAGACATGATGACTGGCCGAGGGTTCATGGTTTGGGCGGATGGAAGGAGATACGATGGGGAATGGTTTGAAAACAGATGTAATGGTAGGGGTGTCCTTACATACAAAGATGGAAGAAGATACGTGGTAAAGAACTTGCTTTGTTTGCTTGTAAACGGAAGTAATCTGATTGTACAGGGCGAGTATAAGCTTGACAAGATGCATGGCAAAGGGGGTAAAGCGTGATTGGGTTGGATAATATCCTGATTCTCGTTTCAGTGTACTATTGGGCAGAAGGAGCACGCTATGAAGGTGAATACAGAGAAGACAAGAAGAATGGCCGTGGTGTGCAGACTTGGCCAAGTGGCGCAAGGTGCAGCTTGGATTCATGAGACTTTGGAAGAATTATTGATACGTGGTTTTCATAGATACGAAGGAGAATACGTGGATTCAGTACAGACCGGTTATGGCTTGATGACTTGGGCAGATGGAAGGCGTTACGAAGGATACTGGGTCAACAGCAAATGCACCGGTTTTGGCATTTTGACGCACAAGGATGGAAGACGATATGCAGGAGAGTATGTCAACGACAAGATGCAGGTATTGCATCTGAAAGGCCCAGGTTGAGGATTGAAAATTCTGCGCAGGGTCATGGTATTTACACATGGGCCAATGGGGCAAAATACGATGGTGAGTACAAGGACAATAAGAAGAATGGCCATGGTTTGCATACATGGCCGGATGGTTCGATGTACAAAGGTGCGAAAACGATTGAATCTAAGAATTTCAAAGTTGTGAATGTGATTGAAAGGCGAATACTTGGATGGCATGCAAACTGGCCAGGGCTACATGGCATGGGGTGATGGTCGTGTATACCGTGGGGCGTGGGTGCAAAGCAAGTGCACTGGCTTTGGTATTTTGACCCACGCGGACGGAAGGAGATATGAAGGATATTATCTCAAAGACAAGATGCATGGACATGGGGTAAATGTGTGTCATTTGCTGAAAGCATTATTGATTTTCATTACAAGGTTTATACTTGGCCTGATGGAAGGAAATACAATGGGGAATACAAGAACAACTTGAAACATGGAAATGGAGTTTGGACATGGCCAGATGGCGTGATGCTTGAGGGACAGTGGGCAGACAATTTGCCCTGCAGACATGCTTGCACTATAATCTTCTCTTCTTATGTATCGACGACAGAAGTCCAACCCAGGGTTGGGCTTGACACGGACACTACACTTCAAAAATTGTGGGAAGATGCTCATGCATGGAGACAAGAACACAATGTAGTCCACAATCCCCCGTCGCCAACAGCACACAGATTATCGCCGAGAGCAAGTCCGGTTAATGGAAAGGCTGATGACAATGCCCACCAAAGAGATGACGAAGTTGCCCCTTGCGGTGCAGCGGTTGCTGGAATGGCAAGTGCTCCTCCCCAGTCAAGCGGTGCTAGGCCAGTGCCCATGGCGAACGATTTCATCCGAGGTGCAAACAGTGCTGCTTTCGATGTCGGCCGGTAGTTTTGCAACTGTTTTTGAACGATGCTTCTCTCATCATGTTTTTAGTTCTGCTGAACAATCCACGGAAATGTTCCGATCACTTCGTAGTGTTGCGATGCAGGTAACTTGAACTGTCTGTGCTTACGGATTCATGTTGCTGCAGCTTGATCAAGGCTTGACTGAAATGGAAGAGCTGCATAATGCGCTTGATGAGATGTACACGTCTAGTGCCGAGGCTCCATGTACAGCAGGCCCAGCGAATGGAGAGCCAGAACCACATGGAAGCGGCGGCGCATGTGACGGTGGCTCAAGGCATGATGGACGTTCAAAACTCAAAGACATTCGTGATAAGCTCGCGCTGCAAGTGCAACTGCTGCATCTTGAGCTGGATAGATATGGAGGAGCCGAAAGGTTTGACATCCTTAGTGAACAGGCGAGTATGAATGGTCTGATTGCGATTTGTAGGCTGGTGGCTTCAACGTCTCGAGGGGCTGGGAGTGCTGACATTGGAGACTCTGACGACTTTCCTGCACAAGCGGAGACTCTGAGGGAAACTTCACTGCGGGAGATGACGCTGGAAGAGGTGTATCGCCTGCCTGCAGTGATTTAGTGCTCTGACATCATAATTAGGTATGTGAGGCACTGACCTCCAAAGGTCTCCTCATGTACATTGATCTGTTTCGACGTGAGTCATTGGATGGAGCAAAGCTGAGCGAAATGGATGAGAGCAGGTGCTGACTTGACAGTGTTTCCACGAGGTCCTCCACTGATCGAAATTTAGGTTGGAGGAGCTAGGAATAGCCAGCGAACATCGATCCCTTATTATTGACGGGCTTCTTTGATCTGACGGCAAGCTTCCTGAAATTTCCGGCCGTTCAACGGTTCGGCGGCGTCTTGCTGCGCCGGCGGTCTCGCGCTTGCCGCCCTGCCTCGGAAGTTATCAAGTTCCGAGTCGGAACCATTCTAGTAGTCTGGGCAGGAGCCGCCCGAATATTCAATTTGACCTAGATTACAGTGCCGATCATACCGTGGTACAGAACGGTAGTGTCAGGAGTAAACTTTGAAATCGTGAACACAAACATCATGTTTGTTCACGGCGGGGGCGAACGGTACCGTGGCGGCCCGGGCATCCGGCTGACCGGGCCCGGGCTGGCGGGGGCTTGGGGCCTCGCCGCTCAGGGCGCATAGAAAAATAACGGACATGTAACTGCTGTAGCTAAATGCGGTGAAAGGAAGTTATGCATTAGTACGAGCGTGGAGGACTTGTGCGAGAGAAAGAGGGAGAGAAATCCGAGGATGAGGAGAAGACTGAAACACCATGAGAGTGAGAAAGAAAGATCAGGATGCATGTGGGCATCAGATCCATCAGAACAAAGAGGGAGGGAGAGAGGAAGGTAGCCCCTGCTTGAGTCACAGCGAATAGGCACGCCATCGCGATTGAGAGAAAGAGGGAGAGAGAGAAAAGGGGGACAGATCGAGGCATGAATGTCCACGTTTGGTTCAGATCTACTTTTCATAATGATTTCTGACTTACAATCAATGAAACATTAGATGTGTGATGGAAACTCTCAACAGTTTTCCAGGATTTTTTACGTGTGTGATGCCTGAAAGATGTTTATGTTCATTATATACTGCGTTCAAAACACATGAGTTCAGGTTGTTGCTGGATTGGAGATCAATGTGAATTGAGTATTTTTTATTGATATGCACGGGGCAGCAAATTCCACAAGGACAGCGGTTGATTTCGTACAAAGCGCTTGCGTGTTGTGTATCAATCAAAATTTATGGTTTAAATCATCTTAGAAAGTAACATAATCGCGCTCGTGTTGCGCGGAACAGTGTCTACTGCTCTATGCATTTTGTGTCTTGGCAGCATCCTGACTCGTTTCGGCAGGTTGTTCCAGCATGTTTGAGAATCTGAGGCATCACTTCTCGGAGCTAGAGACAGTGTCAGCTGAGGTGCAGGGCCCGTACACTGTCATCCCGGGCCCTCCTGCCGGTTGGATTCCTCCTATCGGCGCCTCGGCGAACACTTGGGCGAACATCTACAAGAACAAGCAGCGGATCGATTATTGTGTGGACCAGTTTGCGTACTTGACAAACAGGGTGAAATGCGTTGAGAAGTTTACAGTTGGACCTTTCTTGGCCTGAGGTGTCGGCGATGGAGAAGAAGAGGGCGAACATTTGGAGGGTGAGGGGGTAGGAAGCTTTGAAACAGATATGGTTGTGTCTAAGTACATGGGTAATCGTTGGTGATATGCCCCTTGTTATGTTGCGGTCACTTTGACCTTTGCCTTCATCTTCACATTTGGCATCTGCAGAGAACACTAGATTCAAGGGTTGATTTACTGCTGTAAGCGTGAGAGGGAGGAAAGGGTTAAAGGAATAACAGCTGATCAGGAATAGAAATGTCCGAGTTAGCGTACTGCTTGTTACTTCTTTGCCGCAGGGGCAGCTCCGTGCATATAAGCCTCGTACGCCTAACAAAGGAAAACAATAGTCAGCTCTGAGCAGAAAAAGATTGTGCGTGGAGAAATGAGATATTGCACATCAAAACGTTGTCACAAGGCTTTGAAGCATAAGAGACCATACAGGAAGGGGGAGGAAAGTTTCAATCACCTGGATGGATGCGGCAGCTTGAGCACGCTGCTGCATCTTGTCCTCAGCGCTGGACTCCGTGGGTCCATCAACAGGAACTGACTGGGTGAGACCCTGAGCGGCCATGGGGGCACCACCCCAGGGGTTAGCAGGAGGCATCTGCGATGGCCATCCATCAGTCCGACTCAAGTCTGTCCAAGGTGAACGAGGTAGTCCACCAACCTGCGCGAGCTGGGGTGCCTGGCCTGGGGCCATCTGCTGAGGATACATAGGCTGCTGATAACAACGGACGTCAGGATGCCGTCGAAGCACAGGCAGTTAAACCAACCTGCCCATAGGCTGGGGCTTGCGGCATCTGTGCATACATGGGAGATGGCTGTTCGACCTGCAAGCACATCAGCTCTGGTCTCACCACTTCAGAATATTCACCTCAGGCGGCTGCTCGTAGTTCATGGGAGGCTGCTGCTGATACATCTGAGTTTCACTCTCAGCTTGATGCGCAGTGGGAGAATCAGTCGAAACCTGCTGCTGTGGAGGCTGCCCGTATCCTTGAGGAGGCATCTGCTGCATGGGCTGCTGCGGCATCTGCTGCATGGGCTGCTGCGGCATCTGCTGCATGGGCTGCTGCGGCATCTGCTGATACATCGGCTGAGCCAATATTCAGATTAAGGGGGAGCGTCAAGTCCACCGCATACCTGCTGAGGAGGAGCATATCCTCCGTACATGGGCTGCTGCATCTGAGGCTGTCCGGGGTACATGGGAGCTCCCTGAGGCTGCTGGAACATTTGCTGCTGGAGAGGAGGAGTCGAACCCATCTGCAGCGAAAGCAACATGGTCAGCTCTTGTTCGCAGGGAGAAGGCAAGGAGACCTTGGCTCCTCCACTGGTGAAGCCGTGCTCGTGCGCAAGCTCTCTATCCTTTCTCTTCAAGGCGGCCTCCTTGAGCCTCTCCTTGAGCCGCGAGCGGCGCATCTTCATGTTGAGGATGTGGGTATGGACCATGTCGAACGAAAGCGGGCCCCCGTACATGAGCTCCTGTGCATGAGCCTGCAAGCGGCAAGATTTCAGCGCTCTTGCATATCATCCCTGGACGACTGCGTGCACGATAATACCTCTTCCTTGGGAGAAGTGAAGAAAGTGATGGCCAGGATCGCCAACAAAGCAACAGAGGTGGCGGAGAGCAGTGCGATTCGCAATGCTCTTGTATTCCTGCTGAAGCTTGATTCCTCACTGGCCATTGTCGCCCTCATCCTGAACGATGAGGAAAGTCAAAAAAAGAGAAAGCACAGTGGTAACTCCAGATTGTGCAAACTAGTAGCGTTCATTTCCACAACTTTGAACTCTTTCTTTGATCCCTTTCTTTGATCCTCAACTCCTTTGGGACCTAAATGAACCAGATTTCGTTCGACAATTTCAGACTCACAATTGAAATAAAATCTAGTGATCTCCTCACATTGCTCGTTTCTTACACCACATTCATGATTTCCTCCGATTCCACATGTTTACCTTCAATTCCTCATCGACCTCTCCCCCTCCTCTCCCTCTCTTCCATCTTCGTCTCTCTGAACAGCCTCTCTGAATTTACCTCCTTTTACCTACATTCCTGCTCCTCCTGCCCCTCCTCCTCCTCTCCATCCTCCTACTTGTCTCTTCCTGCCACCATGCGGCGCTGTCAACATTTACAACCCTGCGCCACACTCACCCCCATCTTTTGGGAAGTACCCTATAAAATAGTACATTACCCCCTCATTTTAGATTAAATTTATCTGAGTAGAAGGGGTAAAGAAACACCCCCACCTATAATTTTCAGGCTCAACTCTTCGACTACCCTACAAAGTTCCCAGTCTCCTCCCGTTTTAGGAACTCTCTACCCGACCCCTCTGGGTTGGTCATCGAACCACAACCCCCTCTTTCAAAATAGTTGTACCCCACCTTTTTCCAACCATAGCACCATGATGCGGAGAAATACCCCCATACACAAACTACCCCTTGGGCAAAACCACCCCTGGGTTCCTGATTCGGGGTCGGGATCCCTGCTATGGCGTTCAAGATGGCGCAGCAGTGGGAGGGGATGTATGCAGGAAACGACGAGATGGCTGGCGGGAAAAGATCAAACTGCACGTAATAACCATCACATCACATCACATCACATAATCTATAACAACATCATTCACCATCTTGTTCCCTGACCGTACCATGCTCTTTTCACTTTCGCTCCGAATATCTGCCTTTTGCTCATGATGCTGGCTAGGTTCTATTGTGATAGGTGGAGGATGTCGACCGCGCATGGAGCCGGTATCCCAGCAAACACACCAGCTCCACTGCAGGGACTGATGTAGGAAAGTATTGTTGGTCTGGTGAGCAAGTTGAAAACAAAGATTTAATCTAGTGTTCTTTGCAATCCATCTCCTCCAGCTGATAGCGAGTCTTGCGCTGTTCTCTCCCTCTTCACTTTGGGTTTTGCCCCGCATCTGGCGAAGGGTCGCCAGGTTTCCAGCCAGGCGGCTTCGCGTTACCCGGGCGTCTGAGCATGACAGTCATGATGCAATTCAAAGCACAAGCACAAGGACAAGCGACCTTCGTACACGCAGAGCTTTTCTTGACAAATTGCGTTGAACCTTGGCCAGATCCACACCATGACGGGCTGCAGGCGAGTGAGGAGAGCAGGAGACGACGCATGAGGAGGTAACCGCATGCAGCGAAGGCGAAGTAGATCACATCGGCAGTTTCCCATGCGACCTGATTGGATCTGTGAGAACGAGCACGAGGACAAGCAGCGAACTGATGCCTCCTTGTTGTCTTTGGCAGCGAGCAGCTCTTCGCATTCCTCCAGAAGTTTTGATTTCAACAAGACATCGTCGTCGAACAATCTCTTGGTGTATGATCCAGCTGGAGCATTGTTCTTCCGATCAATGAGGGTCCGCATAAGTGCGCCCAAGGTCCCATGATCCTCTCCAAAACATGACATCTACACAACATATCCGTCATATCGGCCCAACCCTCTAGCCCCCGTCCACCTGCTCCATGTGACAGAAACCAGATCCTGACTGTCGGACGACGAAGCTTGAGCAGCAGGAGTCAATACCGACCCTCGAGCGAGAGAGGGCTCTAACCGCATTGAGTCCCGATCGCAGTCTAAGTCAACCCGCAGCAGCTCCTGCAAGGCGGTCACGAACTTGCCAGCTGCGATAGCAGACGTCCACCTGTGTCGCTCCTGAAGTCAGCCCCTTGATCCACAGGCCTCGCGTCCGGCTGCCGGGAATGTTTGTCATGCGATCCTAAGAATGAGGAGAAACGTAACTCACCTCCAGTACACCCCGACCGATCTCTTGAACGCTTCCGCCAAGCTCTCGAGGTTGGAATAGCAGAGACCCAGAGTGACCATATCCTCGTCGACCACCTGACAAGCATGAGACAAACGTTCGTGTTCGCTTTCATTCTCCTCACCACTGTTGGGATCAGACCGTCGGGTCGGTCAGAGACCAAGACAGCTTTCAACGCCTGGGGACCAGACTTACTTCCCTCTGACTTGAGTTACGTTACCTACCTCGGGGATCGTCATGGACCCGTCTTGCAAACATGTCCCCAGGATCGACTCAACGCCAAGACTGTCGAGGAAAGCAATCTTTCAAGAACAATCAGGTCAGTCCGTGCAAGGCAAGAGGGTTGGAAGCGAAGATACATCATCAGTCGTCGGTGGGTTCAGCACGTTGAGCATCATTCCTTTCTCAAGAAGGCTTTTCGCTGACTCGACGACCTTGAGGTAAAAACTTCAATCCGCAGAGCAGCCAAGGGAAACTGAAAACGTCACACCTTGCGGTCAAAACCGTGGTCGAACTGAAGGACGACCCCTGTGATGCCCTCAGTGACAAGGGCGGGTAGTGGGGTCAGGAGGTATCACGATTCGCGTAATAGGAGATCTCAGACATGGCCTGGTGGGTATGTCATCAACAACTTGACTCTCAGTCGGTTCACCTCCTTCAGTGACTTGCCGTCGGAAAGAATAGCTTCTCCACTCCCAGACGCGCTGCGGAGGAGGAGGGAGAGGAGGAAGTGAGAGCTCGACGATTATGTTGAGGTAGCTCACTTGAGTTTGACCGCCAGCGTGATTCTTTCCTTGGGAACACCATCGAGAAAACCCATGTTGCTCTCCTTGTAGTCCACAATGACCTGACAAGACGCTCATGGCGAGGACAGACATCAATCTTTTCGCTTGCCTGAGTGGCTCCTTTGTCAAGCCAGTCATAGACTTTCTCGTTGGTCACGAATCCTCCTCTGAGTCTGCATCTGCAATGCCAATCATCAAATAATTGCTTATAGTTGGGCGTGGAGAATACGGCAACAGATCGAGGAGAGCGTCAAGCACAGCTGCGTTGGTTGAGTTCTGCAGTGCTGTCAGAGACATGGGCAGATATTGACAACTCTCACATCCTTCCCCTCCTCGGCATCTTGATCAAAGACCATAACTTCACCAACAAGTCCGAGTGTCTTCACAGCCTCGAAAGGATCTTCCGGGAAGCTTCCTCCGCCGACGACCTTCCCGCCTGAGATAGCGAAGGCAGGGATCTGGCAGCAACAAACAAACAAGTCAATATCATCGCAGTTGTCCCCAACCTCTTCTTCAAGGCTCCCTCCACTCACCAAGACCCTGCTGTTCATTGCGCTGAAAGTCAAGAAGGAGAGGGAAAGTCAGCGTGGAGAATCTTCACGTAGAGGAAGTGGCAGCACATCCCATCCCCTCATCCCCATCATCTCAGACATACTGGGAAGAGCATGCCTTGCTCTCCTCCCTCTTCCCTCCCCCCCTCCTCCTCCCCCCTCACCTGTGCGTACGCTTGTACGCGGCCGCCATGGCGTTTTTGGGGGAGAATAAATCTCATAGCCCCACCCGGACTTTCTATGGCTGCGAAATGCGGCTAGTGACGCTGAGGCGCATGCTGCGAGGGGGGAGGGGAGGAGGGGGAGGGGGAGGGGGAAGATGGAGGGAGAGATGAAGGAGCTAGACAGCTCTCGGGAGGATCTAACCAGGTAGACAGCTCTTGGGAGGATCTAACCAGCAACGGGGAGGGTCGTGAGAACTCTGCCATGCGGATCTGCTGGGTTCGAGCGCGTGGACCACACATAGTCGGCATGCGATGAGAGGGGAAATGGCGCGTGTGGAAGGAGATCAGAGAGATCTGTGAGCAGAGGGTCTCCTCCAGTCTCTGAATGAGCATCGTGGTCGTCAAGCTGACCACCATGGCCGTTGACTTCGAAATCCGAGGCTGAAGGACGGGATTCTGTTGAGAAGCTCCCTTGAAGGAAACAAATAGATGGACAATTTAAGCCGATTCATCATGAAGTTCAATCAGTGCTGATGACTGAGGACTGTTCGGTCGGTGCATTCTTCAGTCTCCATTGAAACGATAGATGTCGTTTGCAATCATTCGGCCGAAGCATTTGTTGGCATCGGTATTGATTATTTGGTTGATGTTGTCGCAATCGCAATGTTTGGGATTGAGACAGGCGCAAGAAGACTGGTATGAAGTGCTGGGCGTTAAGGTGACTTTGCTTGTCACGAAATTTCATCCTCTATGTTCGTTTAGACATCGTCACGTTGCGATGACGAATTGCACTGAGATCCGCATTTCTTTCCCCTCCTGCACTCTGTCTCTCTGGTCACAGTTGGGACTTACTTGTTGAGTAGCGAACAGCAACCGATGCTGAGATCAAGAAAGCATATCGGAAGGCTGTTTTGAAATATCACCCTGACAAAAACAGGGGCAAAGAAGCCAGTGCGCAGGTCTGCCTAAGAATTCCTTGCGTTGACGAGACACCAAAGGTAATGTTCTACAGGTCATGACGGCAAGGTTGAACAATGCATACGAAACGCTGAAAGATCCCGTGAAGAGAAGAGACTTTGAAGAGAGCTTCTTCGGGATACGGAGGTGGGCCGCTGCTGGGACTTCGCTCTTGATCCCTCTGGTGCAGTCAAACAAGTTCAAGTCAGACCAGCGCGAGCAGGCCGCCGCAGCGAAGGTGAGACGTCTCTCTCTCCTGACGTGAGTCCTGCCTCAACCAAGCTGCTACAGCACACCAGACTTCAGCAGGCCACCTCAGCGTATGAACCTGCACCCCCCATGCCCTGGCTTGACGTTTTCAAAGGAAAGGAGCGCGAGTCGAGCACAGAGGATTCTGTGCAGGAGGAGAAGGATCAGGGTCCTCGAACCCATTACGATCCGAAAGATCCTGGTGGGGGAAGAGGAGGCTGTGACTAGAGATGTGATTGTATTTCACTTCAGGCGCAAGTTGGGACTCATGGCAGTACGCCAAGGAATTCCGCAAACAAGCGGACAAGGCCTATAAAGCGTCTCGATCCAAGGTACGCCCGGCTCTCCTGCCGCTGCCCTACCCGTCTTGATTCGGGACCAGACAACCTTCAGTGAGGACGCTTGGACAAACATGAAGACTTCGATGGAGAACATTGAGACTTTCTTCAACCCGCGGGATGTACATCATAGGTGAGTCGACGCTTCTGTTCTTCATCGCTGCCATGCATCTGCTGCATGAGGAGCCGTCAAACTGGTTGAAGTGATCAGATGAGGGGCAGGACGACAACAGAGAAGGCTTCGGAACGCGAAAGGCGGCAGCGAGAGCGAAACGACAAGTTCGAGTCCTACAAGAACAAACAGATGAAGCGACGTATCAAGAGAGAAAAGGTCTTCCGCACCGTTTCTGCTTTCAGATTGTGACATCTTCTCAGCTGGAGGAAGAGGAAAGGCGCAAGAAAACTGAGAAGATCGAACGAAGAGCTGCGAAGCTTCAGGCAATGCGGGAGGCAGCGGTGAGAAAAGTGCTGGCGTCTTGCTCCTTGTTCTGATACCGCTTCTTGCTGCAGAGGAGAGAGAAGGAACGAGCAAGAGAGCGAAGAAAAAAGCAAGATCCCATCTCGCCGGAGGATTGGGAGAGGATCTTCGATGGGAAGTACTGGTGATGTCCACGGCTATGTTCGCCTGTTCCGTCTGATGACATTTTGCGATGTTTGACTTTATCAGGCCCAAGTCTTGGACGAGGAAGAGCCCAAGGTGACATTACAAACCTCCTCCTCCTCCTCACTCTATGCTCATGTGAGCCCAGGTGTGAAACATCGAGCACAGCGACGCGACCAGGGATGAATGGTGCGAGGATGAACCAGCCGAAATCTGCATGGTTCTGATCGAATCTGGCCTGCCGGTCCTCCTGTCGGCGAGGGCCATGTCTACTTCACCTAGAACTGCCCCGTGAATCATTAAAAATGACAAGAAACTTCCTACAAGAAAACCAGCCAAGAAAACCGTCCGGTGAGAGAGCTGTATGAGGGTCTCGATACTAGTGCGGCATGACTGCGCCAGCACCGGTTGTAACGGACGAACCGACAGTTGCCTGGAGGACATGGCAGGAGCGGACTAGCGCCGGTCGCTCTCCTTGTGTGGGGATGCGGTCGCCGCAGGTTCGCGCGAGCATCAGAGATGAGATCGCAGGAGCCGTGCAGAAGCTCATCTCCGCCAGCTGCTCCGACGAGAACGCCATCCGGTTGGCAAGGGACACCCTGAGGTCCGTGGGGAAGCGAGACGAGCAGCACAACAGCATCCTCATCGACCAGCTGCTGAAGCTGCTGCAGCGGCATGCAGGGGAGTGGATCAAGGTCCTCCCCCTCCTCGAGATCATCCCCTACGTCTCTAGAGCTGGCGACCTCCGTCTTGCCCCCGGCGCCTTGAGGTTCCTGACGCATGACGAGTGGATGGTTCGCAAGGCAGCTGCTAGGGCGCTGGAGTTTCTCATCAAAGAGCACAAGGGAGGAGGGAGGGTGAGAACTAGCAGTCCTCGTCATAGCCCAATGGGGGAGCAGCGGAGCATCTACGAGCCAAGAAACTCAAAGTTTCATGATCTCGGGGAGGATCTGGAGGTGGTGATTGAGGAGACAAGACCGATGACAGGCTTCTCCCGCTCCTCCGACATCCCAGACCGCTTCATCACCTCCAGCAGCGGGCGCGATGAGCATGGTAGTGCGGCGGACAGCAGCCAAACGGACGACGCGGCTCTGCGGGATGAAGGATACGTGGAGATACGAGACGGCATCGTGGAGGCGATGCGGTCGGAGGCTCCTGCCATCCGAGCAGACGCCATGGAGGTGCTGGGCCGCTGCATGAGCATGGGGGACGCGATTGCCATGAGCGAGCTGTTCAAGCACGTAAAGGACGTGGACCCGACCTGCCGAGCCCGCGCCATCGCTGCCATTGCGGCGAACTCTGTGAGAGGAGCGCCTGTTCCTGTGAGCCATGTGGTCGAAGCCTTATCAGACGGAGATGCAGAGGTCCGCAAGGAAGCGTTGAATGCGCTAGACGCAGTTGTAGTCAAGGGAGATGAAGAAGTTCTGGTGGGTGACATCTGACTGTGAGCTCTCTTACTTGCGTGCAGGAGAAGTTGATCATGATGAAAGAGTACTCCAAGCGATGGGCCCGAGACAAGGGCAGGCCGGACTGGGAGATCCGCCTGGTCGCGTGTCATGCGTTGGGCATGACGAGCACCATCAACAGCAATGAGGCCATAGAGACTCTCAAGAAATCCCTGGGAGACGAGAAGGTTGAAGTCCGACGAGCTGCCTCCTATGCCCTCGGGCTCATCGCCGAGAAGACAGCTCCCAAAGGCACAATCTGGACGTACAACAACGCGACGGCGCAGCCTGGGAAGGTGTCGACGTGGCGGAGCGAGAAGTGGGATGTGGGCCTGCAGCGATACATCCCGGAGATGTCGAGGACGCCCTTGGACTCTAAAATGAGACACTCCCCTCGTGAGATTCTCCAGATGCTCACAAGGACGCCACGAGGCGGCACTGTACCTCACCTCCTCTTGACTCCGAGGAACGAGCACTTGTATGAGGGCGAGGACGTGTTGAAAGCTCTCCAGCTACGAGAAGCTTTCCGACAAGACCAGGAGAAGAAGGAGGAGGTGATGGCGATCGCGCAGGAGCTGAAGAAAGCGATCGAGACGCACGACCAGGCGACTGTTGAGCGGCTGCAGGCAAGATTGGAGGAGATCGCGGCCGGAGATGAAGAAGAAGATGAAGACGATCTGGTAGACGACGACACATCGCAGGATCTTAGCCGTACACACTCGCTCATGAGCCGCACCCGCAGCTTCTCTTCCGAGTTCATATGAATAGAGAGAGCCTCTCATTGCCCCGCTAGGCCCCAATCACGTTGAAAGGCAGACAGGCGGTTCTCAGCATATAGCACATAGTTGAACTCACCCTCCTCGAACGGTTTCGAGACATTCTCGGCCTAACTCAACCAGAGCATGTCAGAAACACCCGGAGCAAAGCTGACGTCACCTGCAGCAGCCCCCACAGCCCCCAGAAGAGGTGGCTTGCTGTCACCCAACGGAGAGCCTGCATCCTGCCAGACAGTCAGCGACATCCGGCGACATGCAACACCGGACCTCCAACGCTCTATCTCCTGCTCACTCGGCTTCTCTCCTCCTGCGCTCAGGTAGCGTCTCACGGTTGCCCTTTGCGTCTCCTCGCTGGGAAACCCTTCTGGGCCAAGAGGCTGGTGGAATCCGCACCCATAGACGCCCTCTGTGTAGTCAGCCGCCATCTCACACCAAAAGTTCGCCATGTCGTCTGCAGTCCCACGGTGAGACTTGGTCGAAACAAAGGGTGGACGTACAGTAGATGGGGTTGTACCCGCTGTATTCAAAATCGATGAACGTGAGCTCTTTCGTCGATTCTTTCACCATGACATTCCCATATTGGAGATCGTTGTGGCAGAAGCCAAGCTCCTCTTCTCTCAAGGTCATACTTGCATATTCCTACAGACATGCACTGAGGAAGAGGACTTAAACAAGCAAGACCAACCTCAACGAACTTGGTTGCTTGTCCAACAACGTCAGCTTTGCCCTCATACCCCAAACTTGCAAGTTTTTCAAACACTTCGCCATCGTTTGAAGCGATCTTGCGGAGCATGCGACGGAGATCTTGGAGGATGCGAGGCTTGCAAGTCACCGACTGCACCTGAGTCTGGTGCCATTTCTTCATGTTCGTCACAATCGTCCCGATCATGACGTCGTCGCGGTAGTCGCTGGGTTCAAGGGTCCTCCATCCTTGCAGAAACTCCTCGATGCGTCCGATGGGCAAGGCAGCCGGGCGGCCCTCGCTCTCAGCCTTGCCACTTGCAGGAGGGGAGGGCTGTTGTTCATCGGAGTATATCATCCCCAGACATGCCGGGCCCAGTCTCCTCCGTGACATCTCGAGGAACACTTGGACCTCTTCGTTCCGATCTATCAATCCTCCCATCTGACCGAAAAATCGAACTACCGCCATGTTCCCTGGCAATCGTCTCAACCTCCGATAGCGCATGCAAAGGAAAAGTACCTGCGGACCGACAGACAAACATGCTATTGGACATCCCTCCTTTCAACGGATCGACGACGATCGATCTCTGATCCACATCACTCCACGTTTCGAGGCGAGCGCATTCCCTCCTTGCTATATCTTCTGGCGACATGTGCGGGGCTTGATCGAAGTGTGCAACAGAGGAGATTCACTTGACACTGGCTGGATGCTCTACGATGCCATCAGAGTTGCAGCCATCGTCTCCCTCTCGTCTCTCTCTCTCCCGACTGCAGCATGGAGGAACGATCACGCAGATTCATCATTCCACTCCGAGCCTGCCTCACTTGGCAGTTGCTCTGTTCAACCACTCAGGCCCGCCTAGTCAACTGAGTCTGTCGGTCACCCGGTGACCCGGTACCATCGCCACGTGCCAGGCTAAGAGTTTTGACGCCTTGTGACACGAGGCTGCTTGACCGTCAGGCCTCCTCGTGACCGGAGCCAGTGGGGTTTTGACTGGCCACGGGACCATCTGACGGTCATCGGATCAGTCGTGTCGTAAACTGAGTTAGGCCCTGAGGACCATATCAGCTCTAAACGCTAGACCATATCAGCTCTAGACGCTAGGCCGCTTGTACTACCGTACGGTAGGCTAACTTGCGCCCGGCGGCACCGGCGCGGCGCGGACGCACCGGCGCGGCGCGGACAGACCGCCTCACGCCGCTGCGGCTTAACTCAACCGTGAACCATGCCATGCTGTTCGGTGACCTTCGTCGACCTCGGCCTCTCTCGCGCCCTCCCCTCCTCCCGTCCCCGTCCTTCTCTCAAGCTCTCCCCAGCACAGCGGGCATTCGTCGACGCCAACAAGCCCTCCGACGGCAGGAGAGCGACTGAGCTCCCGGCAGGAGCAGTGCGAGTGGAGTCGCGGGGTGAGGAGCTGATTGCGGCAGTGCTGGAGGCGAAGAAGCGGGGAGTGCGACTACAGGAGAGCAGCAGGAAGCAGGGGATGCTCAAGAGAAGGACGTGGTTGCTGGACGGCGGGGATAGCTCACCGGGGGGATCCTTCAAGAACGTTACAGCAGCAGCAGGATCGTGGAGGGATTGAGGAGGGAGAGTATCGAGATGAAAGTCAGGTGTATAATAAGCAGCACTTGTGTAGACATTGAGAGAATGAATGATCTACTTAATCTAATGTGCCTTGTAAATTTTGGCTTGATTACTTTTATTCGAGATTGATTTGCAGTTTCATGCTTATGAAAGTCTCTCAGATTCATAGAGAGGAGGAGGCCGGTGGAGTGCGAGTCTTACATGGCTGAAGGAAGTTTTGAGAAAGTCATGAGAAGGGCAGGTGCATCCGACGCTGCTGCTCCAAGAAAACACCGACACTCTCGAGAACAGGTGCTTGTTGATCGTGTTGATGCAAGAACAGATCATGATTCTAAAGCGATGCATTCATAGAGAGATTTCTCACAACAGGTCGTTTTCCTACCCGATGGCACAGCAACTATTTACAGGTTGTCTACATGACTTGAGTGTTGATGTGTCTGATATCGACTATCTTAAGGCAAATGCAGCGAAAATTTTCACTTAGATTCACCGTATTAATGTCTCAATGTCTACACACGTGCTGCCTATTATACACCTGACTTTCATCTCGATACTCTCCCTCCTCAATCCCTCCACGATCCTGCTGCTGCTGTAACGTCCTTGAAGGATCCCCCCGGTGAGCTATCCCCGCCGTCCAGCAACCACGTCCTTCTCTTGAGCATCCCCTGCTTCCTGCTGCTCTCCTGTAGTCGCACTCCCCGCTTCTTCGCCTCCAGCACTGCCGCAATCAGCTCCTCACCCCGCGACTCCACTCGCACTGCTCCTGCCGGGAGCTCAGTCGCTCTCCTGCCGTCGGAGGGCTTGTTGGCGTCGACGAATGCCCGCTGTGCTGGGGAGAGCTTGAGAGAAGGACGGGGACTGGAGGAGGGGAGGGCGCGAGAGAGGCCGAGGTCGACGAAGGTCACCGAACAGCATGGCATGGTTCAGGAGATGCGGAGGAGAGGAGCGAGACCGTATTATGATATAAGGAGCGCGCGTACAAGATTATAAACGAGGGAGATGCGGAGGTCTAATCTTGCAACGCTTCGACCCAAGAAGTTTCAGGGGATCATGGATTGTAAAGCCTCTCGGGCCTCCGGTACTTGATCATCTTAAAGCGTCTTCGGCTACTAGGCTAGTGGAGTCCGAGGACTGAGTCTAATTGCGACCTCGTGACTCGAGTCTGACTCCGAGTCCGACGACGGTGATGGAGCCCGGCCTCAGTCCGACGGTCACGATGATACCCGGAGTAAAGGGCAACCGGCGCGGGGGCCCTCGTTGAGGCGGCGGACTCCCCGGGGGCCGGAGTTCCGATTGTCGCCCCGGGCCGGCACCCTGAGCGGCCATGATCCGATCGATGATCCGATCGGCGGCCGGGCGGTCGGCCCGGATGGCAGCACCGGGTTGAAAACGCTTTACTCAAAGTTAAGTCAAAACTTTCAGAATCCGACAGAGGACAATCGGTGGCAGAGCAAAACTGACTCAAGACTCTTTCCGATCCGAGGCACTTTCGGTCGCACAGGCCATACAAACAACTGAACTCGGAACCCTCATCCCGCCTACCGTGTTGCCCACTGAACCACTGATACTCGGAACTCAGCGGCCGGCAGCCGGAGGCTCACATGATTGTCGCCGCCGCTGGTTTGAAGTTCGAGGTACTGAGGAATGTCGGATCGTTCCCAATTGTTCCAAACTGGCATTTCGAAACGGTTGATTCAGTGATTTCGGCTTTCAAGGGTCCCGTTCATGGTATCAGGTCCCCCCCTGTCGTGAAAAGTTCGAGTCGACTCGACGGTAGTGACGATTCCTAGCACTATGGAGTAGGATGACTTTGTGGTCATTGATGAGTCGGTGGCGATTTAGTATCCGCTCAGGCGGCTCATGCACGCCGTATCAGCAGTGGCTGCTACCGCGTACGGCACCATCATGATGAGACGGACCGTATTCGGTGACTGGCAGCACGTTTATTCACGCCGGTGTGTCGCTGGCATGATCACGGCACTGGCAAGTTGAAGCGAGGCTAGTATGGTACCGACTCGCCACATAATGAAGTTTACTGGCCGATGCGGCTCGGCACTACCCACGGTCAGCTGGCAGCGGGTAAGTTCACATTTGGCAGGCCCCGCCCGGCGCTCCGTAGGCTGCGCGGCAAAGTGAAGTTACAAGCAAGGTGTCGGCACATTTTTGCCAAGAGCCGATTGAATTTCTCGCATGGCTCGTAGGCAGAGTTCTTCCTTCCATGGCAAGGTGACACACTGCCAGTTCCAGCAGCAAAAATCAGCATGACGGATGAAACCCACACGGGAACGCTCCTGACCTGCACGGCCGTGGGAAGACCAACAATGCCTTGACAGTTAGAACGAACGATTGCCTCCACCGCATCATGCTGTTCACCGTATACCCTGACATACCGAAACACGTCATTCAAATCAGAACATCACATTCGCGATCTCACAAGTTAGAATCAATCATCCTCTGCAAGTCATCGCCGAACTGCTCCTTCAACGTATTGTGTGGCCAGTCCTGTGAACACCCGCATCGATTCACGGTTGACGTACTGATCTCTTGTACTGACCTCCATTGCCAGTTCGTCTTCTGTATTGGCAGTACCAACTGGAACAGTTCCTAGGCAAAGGATGTTCATTGTACATTAGTGGCATGCAAGATGAGCATGCTCACCTGCTGGAAAATCGAGAAAGTTGAAAATCTGCGTATAGCACAAAGTAATCCCTATGTGGAAATTCAATTCACATTTCATCTATTTCCCTGTGTATTCACCAGATGATGCCACCACATTCGGCTTGGGCGCAAGCATCGTATGTGAAGGACATATCAAGACGTCGACTCCTGATGGCAGCATAAGGAGCCTTACGATCTCATATGCAACAACTTGCCGGCCTCTTTGAATGCCTTTTCCCAAATGGCTTGCAACCGAATCCGCTCAGACTGGACGACAAAGAGTGAACGGGAAACTTTCAAGCAAGTACATGTACCTGCGCTTTCCAAAGCTCATCTGTCGAGCATATTCCTTGCGACTCCAGCAGATCCGCAACTCGCTTCTTCCCTTGTCTCCTTAGAGCTTTTGGCAGCAGTTTTCCAGTCCAGAATGATCCAGACACTCTCACCCCTTCTACGAAGGCTCTTAAACTTCCATCTACCTGTATTAATCGAAATGAATCGCAGGGGGAGGGGGGCTGGGAAGGGGGGGGGGGGGGTTGGGAGTCATCGGTTCTTACTGTCTCGTTTTGGAGAAGTTCGAAGACCTAAACAAGACATTCTGTCAATAGAGTAGTGAAATAGATGCCAACTCGTACGGATTTCCCTCCATCAGCAGTCAACAACTTGATAAAAAGTAACAAGCACTGGTATACTTCTCAGCGCTTATCGAACTGAAACATGAAATCACGATACCTTGATAGCATGAGGTGGTTTAAAGGGGATAATCTGATGTCCGCGAGCTCTCATCGCATGACAAGCCTCCCTGACCGCCCGAGCACACGCTGCCTCTCTGTATGACTGGGATGTCGGTGCGGGAGCAAACTCACCAGGAGTTGAGGCTATGAAGCCATCCGCGACATAGTATCCGATTCTGAGCTTTGAGCTAGCATTGTATGTATCCCAGCTCCATGGGATTGGAGCCTTGGCAAAAATCAGGCAACTGAGTCGTATGATTCGAACACGATCTCTTACCACGAATGTATCATACTTGTTCGAATAGGTAACCAACGCTGACATTGCTGCTGCAATTGTATCTACTTCCTTTGCCATAGGCCCAAAGGAAGCTGCTACTCCTGTCTGCCCAGGAAGAACAGAAAAAGATCCTCTCCGAGATATTCTCCTGCGAGGCAATGCAGTATGAGATTCACACTCAAATAACACGATGCGCGACCCAGAAAATGGCTTGAAACCACAAATGCCACAAAATGCTGCAGGAACACGAATGCTCCCCCCTATGTCGGTACCCATGCCCAGGACTGAACCCCCACAACAGATCAAGGCTGCTTCACCCCCTGAAGATCCTCCAGATGTTCTGTCCTTCTTAAAGGGGTTGCATGTAGCTCCGTAGATTGGGTTGCTGCTCAAAATGTGAAACTAGAATAAGGCAGGAAATGCGACAAACGACCTGCATCCGTAGGACAAGTTGGTCTGAGGAATATTAGTCCTACAAAATGGAACGCCTCCGGCTTCCTGAAGACATAACAAAGAACATTGAATAAGTTTCTTCATTGCAAGTTCTATGTAGGATAGACAAAGTTTGTATAAGGATACCTTGATTGCAGCAATGGCGACGCTGTCTTCCTCTGAAAGTATTCCACATCGTTTTGCTATACCTGCTGTACTGTCGTAACCCTGCTCGCCATCTCCATCAACTACCGCCAAGGAAAGCATCCATCTTACCTTGAGAAGGATCGTCTCCTTCACGCTGACAGGAATGCCATGAAGAACGCCTTTCAACTGGCCTGAGGTTCTTAGGGAATCTAAAGTCTGAGAATTTGAAGTTAGGTCGGTGAATGTCAACAGTTTGCAACTGTTGGATTTACCTTTGCTTGTTCAAGCGCACCTTCAATGAATCCGGTGAGGCAATTCAATTCTTTGTGCAATGAAGCGGCCTTTCTTCGATAGGCGTTCACAACATCATAAGCTGCGAGCTGTCCTGTTTCGAGTTTTTCTTTCAAGTCTTTGTACGCTATGTTGGTGACAGCATCGCCCGGCTCATCATTGGATCCTTCTTTGGACAGTGCAACTACTTTTTCAATCTGTTGCATCGATTCGTTCCTCCGCTTGTGCGCTTTCTCCTCAAGGTCCTTTCGTTTTCGAGAGACCTTGATCGCCTGAAGAAGTCGAAAGATGAAGATGATGATTGCGGGAACACCTCCCAGCGCTAGCATGGTCATAGTTTGGCGACTTGGCGCCATTGAGCAAAGGGAGCGAAAGGTCTCCAGGACAGGGGCGCAAGCTACAGTCAGGGTGTGTAAATTCGGGTGGGTACTTATATGACGGGTAGTACTCACAAATCGATGGAAAAGGAGGGGTATAAACAACACAGTGAATTTTGTTTGAGGGTAATAGATGGGGTGAGAGTAGTACAAATGACGGGTGATCAAAATATCGGACACCCACAGAATCTGAGGGTGGGTGTACCACTGTATGAACCCTGTAGACCAGGGGTACCTGTAATTTCAGCCTCCCGGCCCCGGCAGCCCGCCCGCGTGGCCCGACTTGAACTGGTCCCGAGCTCACTGAAAAATAAAAGATTAATAATAATAATAATAATAAATTCCATAAAGCACTGGAATATACTTTTGACAGTACAAAAATGCATAAAATGCGCCTATATAATATTTTATTCCAATATCGTAATGAATTTGTTTTAAAGAGTGTATTTTGTTTTTCCATCAGTACCACGACTTCGACATATAGATCGCCTACCCCCTCCCCAATAACCCTTACCCCCTGTATCAAACTCTCCTACCCCTTCAAGGTTCTTGATACCAAAGGACCCCCGCTATGAACATTATTTTGGTATCTACAGTACCCCTCTTTCTGAACATTGCCCGCACCCACCCTGGGATTTCCATTACTACAACAAGAACCCTACCCACTCTTGATGAACTGGGCCCACCACCGGTGGCTTTCAAACTTAGTAAACCAGCGCCCATGCTGGCGCAGCGGGTGCAGCGGCTGCTTCCTGCGGCTAAGGCAAGACGAATCCCCTCCTCTGTGTATCTTCCATGAATCAGAATCCCACGTCGTTCTCATTCCTCATCCTTGCCTTCCGTGTTCTTGCTCTTACAACTCTTTCACACTTCCATCACCTTGGCTACATCGCCAGCCCACTTCAGCTTCCTGAGAGCTTTTTCTTCATTACTCATCTTTCGCATCGCTCCGTACCTTCCCTTCCCTTGTCACATGATCCTCTAGTTCCTCCTGTTCTGCCCTGTGATTCTGCTTTCCTGTCTCGTGATCAATTCTCTTTCTTTACTCGTCCTGAGCCTTGCCTGCTTGAGATTCTACAAGATTGAGGTTGTGTCATATGGTTGAAATCGTCTCTAAGCTTGCTTGATGGGGTGATGTTGTTTGTATTTATGTAACCATTTCACTGCTGTTCAATTCTGACTCTGTACTAAAAAATTGACTTTAACCGCAGTCAATCCTGTCAACTTCCAGGGCACTCACCTTCTCTGCCCCTGGCGTGGTTAGGCTCTCTATGGTTTGATGTTGTCTCATTGACATGGACATCTTTGCTGCAGCTGCAGCGATCATTGCACTTCCATGCTGTTTCCCAACAATACAAAGTTGTTTGCAGTCTTGCATTGTTAGATTTAGCTGAAGTGCACCCGATAGGTTCAGCCGAGGGCTTTGATTCTCCAGTTTACGTGCATCCAAAGACGGCCATTCAGCTCCTCTCAGAGCAATTCAGAAGACATTGGATGTCCTATGGAGGTGGCAAAGGTGAGCTGCCCTATTTTGGACGACAAGGCGTCTTGTCTGGGTTGTGGTTGAACCAATTTCATCAGGCGCAGCCACGAGCATATTATGAGATGACCAATGAGCAGCTCTTGATTTTCACGTCCAAGGTAGATGCGAACTGCTGTTATACATGCTCAATGCGATCATGACCATGAGCGAAGGGAGATTCTGCAGCATGCAAGGAGAGGTTGCTCAGAGAGATCATGGCTGTGGACAAGGTCACTCCCCGAACCAACACTGGCTTCAAGGTGAACATACTGCAGGTCACTTGGGATGATGCACATCAGCGCCTGTTCGAGATTGAGGAGTCGAACTCACGTGGTCTCGGCTTGTTCACCATGCCTTACAAGACGGGTTGACAGAACTGTTAACGGCTCGACGCTGACATGTTTGGAACGAAGGAATCGTGGTCAGTGTAGCAGCTGGTTTGATCTCCGTTCCGATGGTTTTCGACCTCAACACTGCGTTGTGGTTCAATGAGGTGATGTCACGCGCTCGCGAGTCCTTTGCTACTGACTTGTGATTGCAGCAATTCGTCACTACGGAGGTGGCGGATGCCAAGGACTTAGAGACATGGTTAGAAGTGGGATCTTGGTATGACTCGTGGGCATCTGGAAAACAGATCTTTCACTTTGTTTGTGTGAAGGACTTGGGGTTGGAACGAGCCCGTGCTGGGGACAGTCTCTTTCGTCCTGCTCTGTCTTCAGGTCTCGACCCTCCTGAGGCGTCCTTGTGGCTGACGCCCGGATAGTTTGCCAGAAACCAGATGATCAACCTCGGAGCCAAGCCCTACACAGGAGCCCTGCAACAGTAAGTCTCGTCCCTCGTCGCCATCCCTGAGACTGAATGCCCTGCGCAGGTGGAGGGCACGAAGACTCTGCAGGGCGTATCCTCAGGTAATCGAATTTGATACGCAGCAGGCGGTTCTCAGAGGTGCCGCAGTACAACGCAAGCATCATCTCCGAGTTCTCCATGGCAGACGACTTCAAGGTTGACGACCTCTGCATTGTTGACGTGAGCTGAAGCCGGCATGTTGTGCAGCCGGAGAAGCTGAAGGAGAACGATCCTCGCATGCCTCCGCACATCCCCCCTTGGAGTTCGGGCAACTGAGAGGCGAGGAGCTAGATGAGGTTTGCGACTTTACACGTTTGAATACAAGAAGGACAGTCGAACGACATCAGCTGCTGGTCCCTGAGAGGACTTGGGTCAACTCACGGACAGTCATTCTCTCCTTCCCATCTGCGGCAACAGAATCATCCCTGGCATCGCATCCACCAGCACCGCTCCCAGCACCGAGGACGACGAGGCGAGACAGGATTTCCTCCCCTGATGGAATCGTCCGAAGAACCTGCAGTGGGTGCGGCATCAGTAGGCTGCACGCTCCTCTCCCAACAAGGGAACCTGCTGGGCTCGTTGGATCGCTGTACTCTTCTTCTTGCTCTCTGACAAGATCGAGAATTGCTCTACGTCGCTCGCCCACCTGAGAGGGCAGTTGCACGTCAGCAGAGGAGGAGGTGACAGGATCTTTCCTCTTCTTCCCCGGCCCGTTCAAGAAGGTCCTGCTAGCAGTCAACGAGCGGAAGGGCAGGTAGAGCCATTCTCAGACCTCAGAGTCTTGAGCACAGGGCCATCTTTCTCCGTGTGCTTCTGCAGGAGGAGGATCAGGAGAACCAGGAGGAGGAGGAGGAGGAGGAGGAGGAGGAGGAGGAAGAGGTTAGCCCGTGCGGCGCCTTGAACACGGCAGGTCACCTTGGCGACCAACTGCTCCCCAAAGAGCACGAGGTTTCTGTACAGAGTGTCGACCAGCAAGTTGTCGTCTTCGTCGCTCTGGTCCAAGAGTTTCTTCACCTCGCTGCCAAGTGCATGTCACCCTGCCTGCCCGTCCATGTCCGCGTCCTCCACCTGTAGTCAATCGTCTCCCCTGCGCTCTTCCCTCCCCTCCTGCTTGCTCCCCACGCGCTGCGGAGCTTGCCGGCAAGCTCGGGCGGGCAGCACAGCTCCTCCAGCTAGAAACGTTTCCTATCACAAGCAGGAAGGGTTTGGGAGGAAGGGGGAAGGGACCAAACTATGAGAGGGAGAGAGGAAGGTGGAAGGAAGGAGGGAGAGAAGAAGATGGGAGGAAGGATGGGGGGAAAGGATCACCATCTCCTCGTACGGAACTTCTCCTGTGACAAGATGGAGCAGACAAAGTCCGAGCCCATGGACATCAGAGGAAAAGTCCTGGAACTCCAATCAACCTTGTGACCACCCCCTTCCGTCCCTCCCTCCACACCCCTCTTCCATCTCTTTCACATACTCTTCCTGTGCTCCCGGTTCCCATGACCTCTTCACTTTCACCATTCCTTTACCTGGCGCGCTCTGCTGCCAAAGATCAAGAACTCCGGGAGGACATTCTCCCAGGTAGTGACTTGTCTGCTGCATCGTCATGGCCCCTCCCTCCCTCCTCCCTCCTCCACCTCTCTGTCATGCTCTCCCCCATCCTCTCCTCGTCGATGTCTGCTGTCCCGTAGTCCGCCAGCTTCACGATCAGCTGAGGGTGTGCCAAGGTGAGACCTGCGCTCACATGACAGTGAGACTTACCCGGTTCCGGTTGACAGCCCAGTAGTCGCTTCCCTTGCCCCTCCTTCCTGGCTCCTCCCTGTCCGAGTCTTGGGGTGTCGTGACAAAGAAATTGAGCAGCTTCACGTCGTAGTGCCGCATGTGGAGCTTCTCCTGCACAACCTGCACAACAAGTCATGTGGACAGAGAACGGCAGAGGAAGAGCGGAAAAGGAAAGGAGAAGGAGGAAAAGTGAGAAGTCTAATGTGGAGACAGGGGGAGAGCGAGAGTGACGGGGAGAGAGGAGGGAGTGGAAAAGAGTGAAGGGGGGGAATCGGGGGCCGAAAACAGGCGGGAGGTAGGAGCACCTGCAGGGCCTTGGCCATCTGTAGCAAGAGATCTCTGACGACCTGCAGCAGCCAGGTGAGCAGGAGCACGAGACGGCTGACGTCACATCGGCGGGAGGGTGCGGGTGCTGCCGGACCACCAGCTCGAGATCTCCTTCCGTGCAGAACTCCATCCTTGCATCCCAGCACCTTAGCGAACCTCCTTGCCGTCCACCTCCTCCCCACCTGATGTACTGGAAGTCGCCGTGAGCCACCTTCTTCCTGCTCCGTCGCGGCTGGGCCCTCCTACCCCCCTCCAGGTACTTCGACAGACTTCCCTGCGGCCTCCCTGAGCGGCACCAGCGACTGCTCGAGTCCTCACCTGCGGCTGTTGGTTCTCCTCGCATCCCCAGTCAGCGGGAGGAGGACAACTCGTCCTGAGAAACTGGAACGTGCTGAAATATCATAAGGTTACACCCCCCCTCCACCTCCCATACTATCTCACCGGACAAAGTGTGGGGAGACGCCCGAGCTGACGAAGTTGGAGAGGAGGAAGGCGAGTCGGACCTGATGGTGCAGGAAGCAAGAAATTTCACGTCATCACCTCCTCCCTGCACGAGCATGCTCGGACACCTCAGCCTCGGCTGTCCGCATGTTCCCCATCTCTCTCATCCCGCTAAGGTCCATGACGCTGCCAACATTCATCACTTGCGGGTTCAGCAGCAGAGCTCGCTAATGCACCTGACAGCTTCCTTCCTTGCTTCCTCCTCATTGTATACAAGAAACACTTGCTTGAAGCCTCCTTGGGCGAGGAAACGAGCCCAAGGGAACTTTGCGGCGAAGCACGGTGGATCAATCCTCTTCAGCTGTGAAGGAGCAGCATCCTCGTCCTCCTCGTCCTTGCTACTTTGAAACACTCTCAAGCATTCATCGGAAACTTTCCTCCACCTCGTGCTGACGTTGAAGGTGAGGAAGGCAATGTCCCAAGTGTTCAACCCGGGCAACACAAGGGGCAACACGCGATCGATCTGTGGCTCCGACGTGTCCCTCGCTGCCCTCAACGTCGAACGCGATGGGGTTGCCTGCTCGGCATGGCTGGACAGTGACAGCCTGCTGATAGCTTCCTCGATCCCCGGCAATTCATCCACCCTTGAGGTCCCGTCACAAGTTACGTCCGAGCGTTTCGCCTCCAGCTTCGACTTCGCTTCTTCCACTGCCCATCTCACATCCTCATCGGAGAAGCCAAGCGCCCTGAGACTCTCAATCGTCTCCATGATCGTTTCGTCTTCCTCGATTGATATGTTTCCACATGTCTCGTCGCTGTCAGGCCGCCCACGGCCTTGTGCTGAAGGTTTCCCCACCTTCGGGCTCCTCGTGTTGGAGATATCCGCCAGTGCCTGCAAGAGAGTCAGAGAGTCATTGACAGCTTGTACAACAAGGCAGACGAGAGATAAATCACAGGCTGTTAGCATGGCAAAACAGAACGAGCTTCATTGAAGCACTGAAATTCAATTGCGGCAACATAAATGAGAGAACTCTCGATTTCAAAACCTTGCAATGTACAGAGCGAATACTTTGTTGGCGTGTTCAACACACTACTCATCCTGAAGATCATCCACAACGATTCTTCTCCAAACCATCAAACACGCAACGGGGACAAGGCATACTTAGGATAGCCGCCCTCCCCCTCCTCACCTGCTGCTTACACGCCATGTTGAACATGCTGGCGTGCAACGTTCACCACTCTTGAAGAATTACAGCCCGCCTCAGAACCAACTACGGTCTGCCATGTCTCTGGTTTACATCACTGATGACCCCGACCCCCTCCATTGATGTATTACACCCCTACCTTTTCCAGTGGCCTCCGACTTATCACCCCTACCCCGTGATCCATGTTGGATCTGAAGGGGTGATATGGTAGGGGTACTTGCACCCCAGAGAGTTGCAATTCACCGGGGGTGGGGAATATTGAGTAAACATTAGTACCAGACCTTACTTGCCAAAATCGCCCGAAAGTTTGTGCAAACGGGTGCCTCTATGGAGGGTGATCACAATTTGAGGGGGTGGGTGGTCAATTCAATTCAAGAACCCGTTCATATTCATTTAAACAATGGGGTAGTATAGAGAACTCTGATGAGTGGACGGGTAGTCAGTTATGACCATGGTAGTGGTGGTGGGGTAGAGCCAAGTTGCGGGAGTTGCGGCAATGAGGATCGGCTTCGTAGGCATCGGCAAAATGGTGAGAGAGAGAGAGCGCGCGTAAGGAGGAGGAGGAGGAGGAGGAGGAGGATCATGAAGATACGAGGATACATCGAGATAAAGATGTGCCTGAAGTTATCATGCGGCAGACATGCGGGGAGATCTTGTGGATGAAGCCAGTCTTTATAGCAAAATTGTGGGGGTTGTCGGGGATACTCGGGCATCATGGGCGAGGTCAACTAGGGCGTCGTGGAGGTTCAGAAGTAGTCGAGCTGACTATTTATCGAAGGAAGTAGCCAGAGAACATAATGCTCGGGATGGTTAGAGGGGGCAGAGAAGGCTGCAGTGTTCGGATGCTCCTCTGCAGTTGCTGACCTCGTTCTAGGGCGCAAGGATGGCGTCTAACTTATTGAAATCGAAGTATCAAGTGAACGTCTTCGACTTGAACGTCGATGCTGTACATGAGCTCTGCAAGCAAGGAGCAACGTCTGTCAGCTGCCCCGCCGAACTCGCAGGGAGTGCGGACACCGTGATCACCATGCTCCCATCGAGCCGCCATGTCAAGGAGGTGTATTGTGGCAACGAGGGTCTGCTCGCAAGCAGAAGAAGGGGTGTTCTTTACATCGACTGCAGGTTCAGATGTTGGTTTCCTCCGTGTTCTTTTACTGATTTGGTATCTTCTTTCTCTTATCCTCCTTTCCCATTACGCTCTGCACCACTTCCTGATTTCTGATCGCTTCTCCTGCCCCCCACCCCGCTCCTCCTTGCAGCACGATCGAGTCAAACTACGCAAGCGAGCTTTCAGCCGTCTGCTACAGCTCTGGGCATGAGTTCATTGATGCTCCTGTCTCTGGTGGCACGGGAGGAGCGCAGAATGCGACCCTGACGTTCATGGTGGGAGGAGAGGAGCGAGCGCTAGAGCGAGCCCGTCCACTCCTCTCTGCCATGGGCAAGAACATCATCCACTGCGGCAAGAGCGGCAACGGTCAGGTGAGGCCAGCAAGGGGAGCGGACGAGGCTGAGGAAGACGCAGGCGGCTAAGATCTGCAACAACCTGATCCTCGGCATCTCTATGAGCGCTGTCAGCGAGGCCTTCAACCTCGGCAGGCAGATGGGCATTGACCCTCACGTCCTGGCCTCCGTGGTGAACAGCAGCTCGGGGCGCTGCTGGTCCTCGGAGACGTACAACCCCTGCCCCGGAGTGATGGAAGGCGTCCCGTCCAGCCGGGGGTACACGGGAGGGTTTGCTAGTGATCTGATGTTGAAGGACCTTCTCCTGGCTCTGCAGGCTGCTGCGGACAGTAAGGACTTGTCCCTTGCATCCTGTGCTGCTGCTGCTCTCTGAAGATTTACCCGCTCCTCTCTCCTACTCCGCCTTGCCTTCCCCCTTCCCCCGCCCCTTCTCCTTTCCTTTCTTTCCTTGTTCCTTTACCAAATCGCTTTGATTCTTCGAGCCATCTGTTAACACTCACTTCGTGAATTCAGCAAAGATGCCACTACCGATCGGGTCAGCAGTCGCTCAAGTGTACACGGTGATGCACAACAAGGTCAGTCTGCCCTGTCACTGTTTGCAAGCTCCATGTGAGACTCCGAGCCTCCAGGGCTACGGCGAGAAAGACTTCTCCTCTATCTTCGAGTTCTTGTCGAAGAACAAGTCGTGAAGTTGTGGTGGGAAGAGTTTGACGGGGGTAGAAGGAAGGGGGCAGAGAGGGGAGAGGAAGGGGAGAGAAACAAGATCTATTCAGAATTCGGATATTCCAACGGAGTAGGGAGGAGGAGGGGGAGAAACAATAAAGTCGGCAGGCTGGCTAGATCTGATGCCCAGGTATCAGGTTTCCTCGCCTCTTGAGAACTTCGAACATGTCTTCTAGAGCTTTCTTCCCCGGAAACTCAGTCGGATGACTGGGATCGTACTCCACGAGAGAAGGTGACAGTGATGGAGCAGGGGAGGGAGAGGAGGAGGGGGAGGGGGACGGGGAGGAGGGAGAGGAAGGGACTCCAAGGAGAAATCTGAGCTCTCTCGAGCAGAAGTGCAGGAGCAAGTTGTAGGAGGACTCCCTGAAGTGAATCATCTGCTCCATGGCGAGAACCTTGCGACGGAGAGTCTCGATTTGATCCTCCCCACCCGTGTCGTTGCCCCCCCTCCCCTCTCCAGCGCTCGTCTGAGAGGATGAGAACATCGAGGCCTGGGAGGTCTCCGGGGGAGGCAGACCGTTCTCGCTCTGCGCATCGTTGTCGCTGCTGATGCTTGTCAAGAGTTTCTCAAGGACTTCGACGAGGCTGTCCTCCCCCTCCTGCGAGAACTCGGTGGAAGACCTTCGCTCATCGCTCGGAATCTCCTCCAGCAGGCACGCGGGCGACCGATCGATCTCGCTGATGGAGCGGCTGTGCAGGATGCCGGGGGCGGGCGTCTGTTGCATCCGATGGAGAGACGCGCTCCTCCTCCTCCTGTAGAACTTCAACTTGGAGAGGATGAAGTCTGACCTCGACATGAAGTTCAACGACTTGGTGTGCGCAGTCATCAACGCCTCCAAAGTCTCGCCCAGGAAAAGCCGGAGGTCCTCCGCTGCCCACGCGCTGCCCTGCAGCTCCTCCAAGGTGAACTGAAGCTCCTGGAGGAGGAAGCCTATCTCCAGCAGCACGTCTCCCTCCTCTCCCTCCTCCCTCCTCCCCCTCATGGACTCGCACATCTCCGCCAAGCTCCGTCTGCAGAGGTCGAGGAGCTCTGCCTCATGGCTACGGGTGGCAAGCGAAGGGACTCCATCTCGCTCGTCCTGTGGGTTCGATGGCTCCTCTGCGTTACGATCTTGACCCCGAGTGACCAGCAGGTCTTGTATCATCGCAAACTGACGGCAGCGGAAATCTTCCGACCAGGTAGCGAACTCGTTGATCGCGCTCTCAAGATCATCTAGCCTCAACCTAGTCCTCTCCTCTTCCTGTTGTCTTGCCTGTCTGTGTGCCCCATCCTGATCCTCTGCTTGCAAGGCCGCAACGAGGCCTTTTGCCTTGTTCAACTCCTCGGCCAGCCGCTGTACTTCCTTGCGCGTGGCCTCTAGCTGAGCCTCCCTCGCGCCAGCTTCCTCCTGCAGCCTCTCCATCTCCTTACGCAGGTTGTCCGTCACCTGGAGGGAAGTCAGGAACGCAGCATGGTCCAACCTGGCAGATGCTCCCACCTGGGACCTCTGGAGCTCCAACATCGACATGCGAAGAGGAGAGGCGTCGGTCGCGTCCCCGTTGCTGGTGGAAAAGTTGGAGGAAAAGATTCGGTCACTCTCCTTCATCGGGCTCACGTCCACGCTGGAGGCATGCAGGCACTCGGTCGCCTGATAGACGACGAGGACCTTGAAGAGAGACAGGATGGACTTCTGGATCGATCCCTTGGGGCGGGCCGAGATGCTGTGCTGGAGGAGGGAGACAAGCTCGTCCGCGGATGCTACTTGATCTGATAGAGTCATGAAGAGACGGAAGACCTGAGCGATCTCCTGTCCCTGCCGGTCGCATGCAGTTAGAGAAGCGCAAACAGTAAGAAGAGTGACTGGGAGGGAGGGAGGGAGGGAGGGAGGGAGGGAGGTTTGAGGCAGAGAGAGCAAGACATACCATGGGTGTAGATTGGAACCTGCTCGTGTGTTTCAGCATGTAGTTGGTGAAGAAAGCTCTGAGCACTCCGACCCTCCCTCGGTAGAGAACCACCTGCCTCTCGACTTGTCCTCTTCCTCCCTCGTTCCCCTTGACCAACAGGCTGATCCTGAAGTCCGACTGGTTGATGAGGCTCTTCACCTCCTTGGCGCGCATGCCGGCGACGTTGCGCGAGTCCACCATCAAGATCCGATCGCCGTTGGCGAGGGAGGAGGAGGCGATCAGGTCGGATCGGATCTTTTCTACCAGAGGAAAATCCGCAGGAAGGGGACGAGATTTGGAGCTGACGGAGAAGCCGAAGCCATGGTCGCCGGCGTCTTCGAACCCCAGGCATTTGAGCATCTCCTCGAAGAAGCTCGCCGCTCCCACGTCCTCCTCCTCCTGAGCGAGTCCCGACCGCCAGCTTGAGCGCATGCTCCTCGACGAGCTTAACGCTGGCATGCTGGCAGAGGGTCGCGGCATGAGGCTCCTCCCATGCTCGCGAACCAGCGGCACGTCAGCTTTCTTGGCTCCACCTTGACTTCGCTCGATCCTTCCCTCGTCCTTCCTCCCGTCCTTGTCGCCATCTCGCCATGTGCGAGCTGAGGGAGGAGGCTGACGAGACCCCAAGAGGAGCACAAGAGCCGCGAGGATCATGCAGACGGCTGCGGCAGCATACTCCCCCAGCGCCACCTCAGCCACTGCCTCGGCCATTGCAGTGGTGGGGATGAGGCCGGTGCGGACAGCAAAAATGGGCTGAGGGGAGTGTAGGGGATGGTGGGGAGGAGCGTATGCTGGCTGCTCTTGTGCTGCTGGACGATCATGCATGCATGTCAGATGGAGTGTGTTCTCCTCTTGAGGCACGTGCCGACGCCATGGCGGGAGGGACAGCCGGGTTTGCGGCTTCGAGGAGGATATCGTGAGAGCGAGGTGGTGAAGGAATACATCCTGATCATGTCGAAGCCGAAGCACAACGTGGATGGGGAGAGGAGGGAGCAGATCATCCTCGCTGACTACATTACCAACACGAGCAACGAGAGAATCACCTCAGACGCTGTCGGCGACGATTCAGGTTATGCTCTGGCAAGCACCACCCCTCGCTAAAGCGGTGCTTTCAGACAGACAGAGCGGGAACCCTCCAGACCAATCTTCACACCAGGAGCTGGACGAGTCTGCCAGGTACCGGCTTGCTACAGAGATCCATGAAGTCGCGATGCAGCTGTACCAAGAGGTGAGGAGACTTCGAGCGCGGGCTCCCATCCTGAAATCGTTTCAAGATGAACAGGACCGGAGCTGAGAAATTGCTGAAAGCAGCGATCGAGTTCTGTCCGCAGCACATCGCAGCCAATGCAGACTATGCTTGCCTGATCCATCGGCTCTACCGAGAGTACGAAAAGGCAGAGTCGATCTACGAGAGAATCTTGGACTGGGTCCCTCGTTCCGCCCCCTCGCTCTCCGCGCTCTGACTCAGGTCGCTGCAGGAGCCGGGGAACGTCCAGTGCCTCTGCAACTGTGCCTGGTTGCATTATGCTGTGTACAGGCGAGAGCAGCCGCTTAGGAGGCGAGTCAACTGACTCGCTGCCCTCTCAGAGACGCAGACAAGGCTGAGTCCTACCTCAAGCTCGCGCATGCCTCGGAACCCAACCACCCGGATGTCCTTCACATGGTGACGGCCAACCTTGACGTCTGCCCCTGACTCTTGCGGAGCTCGCGCGCGTCCTCTCGGAGGGGAAGGAGCAGCACGATGAGGCCGAGAAACTGTACAAGAAAGGTCTCGAGATAGCCCCGGACTACTTCGAGCTGTGAGCCTGCACTCTATATGTGAAGGCGACGCTGACGGCTAACATCAAACTTCACGCAGACTTTACAGCTACGGGTCCTTCTGCATGGACTTCCGTGGTTCGACCTTCCCCTCCTAACTGCATGTTGACTGCCGATGATCGAGTGCCCCAGACGACGAGACCACCGCTGCGGAGTGTTACAGGAAAGCGATGTGGTTGGATCCTGTCATGCGACCTTGCATCGAGGCAGCTGAGCGAGTGCGTCACTTCAAGTTCGCAGACCATGACTGATGAGGGACTGCAGGAGGAGTTGGAAGGAACTAACAACGATGACCCCACACCAGATCAGAACAGCATTCAACTTTGATGTTTCCTCCCAAGGAGCTTCAGGACCCTAGAGCAGCAATACCTTGCGAAAGATAATGATTTATCAATTCAGCTTCCTCTCTGCTTATAGCCAAATCATCCTGTAACTATGAATGCTTAAGTGAAAGAACTTCACTTGCTCATGACTTCGTTGTCCTGAGGGATAGTATTCGCGTTCTGTTGCGAGCTCTCAGACACGACGTCTTGATACATAACGTCATCCCTACATTGTCAAGGTCAGCTGCAGGTTCTGTACCGATATGCCGCTCACCAGTCCCAAGGAACCAAGCGTCCCTCGACAGGCTGCTCGTACTTTCAAAGTCAAGGACAAGAACATGAAGATAGTATAAACTCACGGGAGCGTCACCGGTCTGCTGGTAAATCACATCATTCCTGCGACAACACTGTCAAGGAACAAGCAGGATCGACAACAGCAAAGGACCAGTCCCATGGGACCAGACGCCCCTCCTCCTGATTTTGATTGGTGATCCCCTGATAGATGACAGCATCCTGATTGGCAAGATGAATCAAAATGTCCATGCATGTGTGCTAGTGCAACCTGATCGCGTGACATTCCGTTCGGATGGAAGTACCAGGTTTGTGCGTCGTAGTTACCGTAAGGGCCCACTGTTACCGTGTCGAAGTCCAAAGCTTGCAAGCGCGATTGACGACGAAAGCCTCCAGGGAAGGGTCAGAGGCACGTTGCATGTGTACCTTTGACCTACCTCTCTGGAGCTCAACGATGCTGTTACTCTGCCTTATGGCTCCTCTGGAGATCCCAACTGTCAACAGACAGACTCCCACCACGGCAAGTGCTGCTGCCATGAACCCCTGCAACGACACACGGAGGCGGAGTTTAAGATGCACGTCAATGATTTTCAACTTAGGTCACCAGGTTCTGCATCTTGAAACACTTGAAGCCTCTTGCTACAGGTGTCCTGCGTGAGGCTTTTCATCAAGGAGTAGAGAGGGCGAACAAGAGTTTGTAGCTATGTGGAATGGATGAAGGAGTCTTTCAATGAAACAAATGGGATCGCTCTCTCTCCCATGCAAGTCACAACACACTTAATCACCGAATTCCTCTCCATCATCTGCTATCATCGGCCTCCCGCTCCCTCGCCATCACGCCTACCTCAAATATGCATCGGCGGAGCCGCCTCTTCACCTCTCCTGTTTCCTTGACTTCTTGTATCTGTAAAATAAAAAAATAATTTAAAAAGAAAATAAAAAAGAATTCTTTTTTATGTTTTCTCACTTTTTTGAGTAAATTTGTTGACATGCCCCGAATATAGAACTTTCTTGTGGGGTGGGTGATTAAACTGTTTGGTTCTCTACCACACGATATTGAATTGTATCACTATTTGACATTATGCTGTCGAAATATTTCAATAATTAGATATAAAATTGAAGATAAGAAATAGTTTTAGGGAAAATTTCCATTTAGTGGAGAAACCAATCACGCCGAAAGAACGAAAGCCGGGTCAGGAGAGGAGTGGTAGGGTAGTGCCACCGGAAATAGAACGAGCGGTAATAAAAGCGGCAGAGGGAACCCACACTCCACACCAGCAGGTTCGAAACCCATAGACATGCTCTGCGGCATTGCGATGAACCCTTTGAACTGCGTCTGTTGCTTGAGATGCTGATGGAATGATGCTGTCAACCCTTAGTTGATTGCCCATACTCTTCAGATGTTTGACTCTGTTCCACCAATTGTGTTCTTTGTAATCACTCAATGAAAGTGTAAAGTTGTTGATCCTTGTTAACAGGAATGTTCGCTCTTCTCTTCGACCTTGAGGACTACGCCACCACCTACCGCGCCACCCGCGATGCCTACTTGAAGGCTGCCAACGAGCTCAAGCTCGCCACCGGCCCCTACAAGGCTGCCCGTGATGCCTACGTTGCGGCCACCGCCACCTACACCAAGTCCCTCTACGAGTAAACATTTCGTGTACTGGAACAGTAAAACCCCAAAATATTTTGAATCTCGTGTGTGCTATCGTCTCATACACACTATCAGAACAGATTCGCATGAGGTGAGGCAGGCTTTCATCAATCAACGATACGCGATGACATACAAAAAGATAGCCTTTTCCTAGTGATTCTGTTACAGAATGCGATCACAGATGGGTGAGTGTATACTTTAGGTCTTCTGGAGCTGCTTTCAATCTCCTTGTGCACTGCTATTTTGCAGAAACCAACCTGTGGGATCTGAGAATGATGAAATTGTAGCGTGCATCACACACAAGGAATTACCTCTTTGCAAAGAGATACAATCTCCTCCTCTGTGAAATGGTGTGTTATGTATAACACCTGTGTCGTGTATCAATGTTCATGCAACCCCAATGACTTTGTATGCTAACCTGCCCTTCCGATCCCCTGCTCAAGTATGATCTGCAGGAGCGCATTCAGTACAAGAGCGTGGGTAACGAGAGCACTGAGACCTGTATTCTCCTGTCAAGCCCTCATCCTCCTCGTAGATCTTCCTGGTGGCGGGTCAATCAACCAGCTCATGCTGCCCTCCCACGAACCTGTACGATTCGTTGACATGCTCCGAGGCCCCCGAGACAGACAACAGCATGGCATGCCCCTCCTTGAGGTGCGAGAAGATGCATTGTAGAAGCGCCTTGACACATGCTCAGTATGAAGAGCATGTAGCAGCTATACAGATTACACACCTTCCTCTCCTTCTTTCCTCCAACAACAGAAATCACCAACTGGCACAAAACGACATCAAACAAGCCGTGTGTGGAGGAAACATCCAGCTTGGTCACGTCCTGCGCAATGAAGGAGATAGTGGAATGATCCAACGAGCTCCGGAACTCCGGGATCTTCTTGTCCCCCGCCATCTCACGTGCGCTCTTTACCGCACTTTCGCAGACGTCCACACCCATCACATCAAGCACTGCCTCTTGCTCACCCGCGCTCTCCAGCAGCTGCAACGCAACGTGCCCGTCCCCGCAACCAAGATCCAGCATGCTGAACCTCAGTCGCTGCTGCCAGAATCCCTGGAGCACGCCAATAAAACTGGGGTGAAGATGCTTCTTGGAGGGGATCTTTTCCGCGTTCATCTTGCTCCAGAACTCCGAGGACTCGAAGGAAGTTGCTGAGACGAGCCTGTTGAAGGATACCTGAGCAACCATCATTGCCTCACTGTCCTCAAGTCTCATGGCACGGCTTTCATCCAGGAGGTGCTGCAGCTCGATCGCGTCCTTGCATCCACACGCGTCGATCACCCTCTGGCTTGCTCCACTGGAATTCGCGAGCCAACAAGCGACCACCGTCAGCTCCGCATACTCGACTCCATCTTCTGTGCATGCTTGCAGCGTAATGCCAGATTCCACTTCCTCCTCCATGTCTCCTTTGTAAAGGATCACATGTTTCTGGGTTCCGTTCACAATGCGGAAAGCTTCATCGCGGGTTGTAACGACCTTCATTTTCGCGGGGAGCGAGGCTTCGAATGCTGCAGGCAGGGATGTGCAATGGCGTGATGTCTCCGAACCTGTAGTTGGAGGAGGAGGACAGTGAACGCTCTCGGCGTTTGCTAGACGTGCATTGCAACGCGTGAGATGTGTCGCTACTGTCGGGCCATCTGCATGTGCAGGACTTGCGGGAAATTTGTTGAGTAAAACCAGGATCTGGTTACGGCGCCGGCGGAATGGCAGGACCAGTGCTTGAGTTGTAAGGGGAAAAGAAGGAGAGGAGAGGAGAGGAGAGGAGAGGAGAGGGAAAGAGGGAAAGAAAAGGGAGGAGAACAAGGGCAGAGGGGCGAGAAAAGATACGGGAGGTCAGGGAGAGGGCTAAACGAGGGTAGGGGAGCAGAGGCAAGAAGAGAAGAGGAAATAGGATTGAGGCTTTGTTGGCTTCAAAGAGGAGGATACAGCTTGTTAGCAACCAGATTCATCGTTGAGCTCCTGCTGCGATCCATCCAGGCTCTTCTGAAGGGGAAGAACAGCACGGGAAATGAACGACCATTCGAAATACCTGCAGTGGAAAAAAAGCATTCCACTGGTGTATGACTTCTTCACGCACCATAACCTCCAAGTGCCGTCTCCATGCGTTCATTGGTCTAGCGTGTTGTCCAAGGAGGAAAAGCATCTGAGCCAGATCATGTGCTTCAGCGAGCGAGGCAACACGAAAAACCACATCATCATCAGCAAAGTGAAGGTGCCTAGTGAATATCAGTCCGATCTCTCTCGCATATCGCAGTTCAATGAATCGAAACCGTCTCCCCACATGGAAACTTTGGGCAAGATCAAGGCACCTCGGAACACTGAGGTGAATCGGCTGAGGACTTTTCCAACGTGCAAGCATCTGCTCCTGTCAAAGTCAGACCTCTCAGATCTTCATATCTGGGACATATCCGACCCTTCCTCCCCAAAGGACAAGGATCCGGTCTGCCCTCCGATGACATCTTGGTAGCTCCTAACTCTCGTTCCAGGTCGTGTTGAAAGGGCACGAGGATGGCGTTTGTGAGAGCAGCTTCGCTGTGGATACATGCGACTCGGCTATGATGGTGGCCAGGTTTGTTCTTCCCTGTCCCCGACACCTGCGCATTCTCTCCTCACCTCTTGCTGTGTCTCTTGCAGCGGCGACCAGCAGGGGAACGTTCTCATCTGGGACGTTCAATCCTTGGAGAGTGGAACAGATGGGAAGAAAGCACTGAGCCCTATACAGAGGTCGAGCGATTGACCCGGTTGTCTCTGGCCTGTAACGGTGTTCTCAGCCTCAAGGGCGATAATGGGCATACAGACACTGTAGAGGCAGTGAAATTCCAGCCCAAGAGCTCGCAGGAACTTTGCTCGGCCGGGGATGACAAGTCGATCAGGTGGGTCGTGACTGCCCTGACTCTCGAGGCTGATCCTGAGGGACGTTCTCAGGCTATGGGATCTCCGCGCCCCTGAGGCTCCAGTTGCATCTGCTTTCAATGAGAACGACAATGATTTCCATTGCGTCGGTGAGTTGCTCCGGAAGGAGGGAGATGGTCTCACTGACCCATGCCTTGTCGGAACTAGACTGGAGCGCCTTTGATTTGAACAGCCTGCTCGCTGGAGATTCTCAAGGAGTCGTCTACTTGTATGACAAGAGGAAGGCATGCTATCGCCTTTTTGAGCCTAGTGAGCTGATCTACTATGTACAGTTCTCCGCTGAGAGCAAGGACTGCTACATCAGATCATTCTCCGGTCACACGGCAGCTGTCACTTGCCTGGTGAGGCTGAAACGTCCTGCTCCGTGTGCTGACGGGTGGTCAAGGAATTTAATCCTCTCACTCCTAACTACTTTGCGAGTGGTGGCGAGGACGGCTGTGTGGTGGTGAGTTTGCCAGTCTAGAGCTCGTGGGACTCCGCCCTAACGCGACTTGAAGCTCTGGGATACGAACAAGGAACAGGCTATGGCTGTCAACGGTTCAACTGTTGACACGAATGTTGAGTTGATCTTCAACCATGTAGGGCACAGGTGCTGCAGTTGCCTGTCGCCACCGGATACCTTACACTGCATGAGCAGGGGATCCATCCAGGATCTCAACTGGAATCCTGAGAGCCCCTGGTGCCTGGCTACCGTGTCTGAAGATTCGTCTGAGGTAGCGCAGAGTGATGATGATCCACTGCTTATGCATCGCAGGGCTTGGGTGGGGGGACGATTCAAATTTGGAGATCATCCAGCCTCTCCAGGATGACAAAAGGTGCTTTGAGAAGCAGGGTTGAGGGTTCCAGGGCTCTGACATGATGAAAGATGAACTGTCGAAGGAGATCGAACTTGTTTGCCGAGACAGCAAAAGGTAAAGGCTAAAAGCATCTGTGGTTTTTCACTCCTTTGTAGAGTTAAGACAGGCCCTGGGCCTTGAAGAATCTATCAAGAGAAGAACTTGGCGTTGAGCCAGTAAACAGCAAAGACAAGTATGAATGCTGAGAGATTCAGAGGGCCTGGATGTCTCGGCGAGCTTGATTCCTTGCCTGTTGCAATCTGATACCTAATAAAGCTGGATTTCAGCTTCTCATCCATCGGTATAGCATGCCAGGAAGGAGATGAATGATGATGTTGGACATGTTGAAGGAGATGGAAGTGTATCAACGAGTGATTACTCACAGTGCCCTTGACGCGCAGCGCTCGGAATGCACTCCCCAGCACAAGTTCTCACAATCCTGCCACAAATAGTCTCACCCTTGCATTCATGCTAGCAACTGCCCGCGCGCGATCTCACCTGAGACAGCATGTAGAGGCAGTCCTTGGACAGGAGCTGAGTGCACCAGGAGCGACAATCGAAGAGCGGAGTGTAGGTCTTGACGTACTGCCGTTGGCATCAGACACTCTTGCAACGTAGAAGATCGGAGAGGAAGGAGCGAAGCTCTGACCTCGAGGCATGCGGCCTCTGCCATCTTCACCTGCCGTGAAGCTTTGAGAACTCCCGACCCAGGGCCTGCAGGCGGCTCACCTTGACCGTGTCGTTCCTTCCCATCTCGACTCTCATGGTGTCCTGAGAGCCATTCACAAACGTGACAGTAGTAGGCCGATCGTCCTGCCGTAGGATCAGCTCTGGAAGTACGTGCGCCAAGTGAGCATCACGGTGGGCAACAGATCCGACGCCGTCAGAACAGGTTCTGGCGCACCATACTTGTTGCACAAGCCCACGTGACAACACCTCGGAAAATTTCGCAGACCTTGAGCAGCCATCACCAAGGGCTCAGCTGCCACATTCAAGGAGACTCACAGAGGAACTCGCGGAAGTTGGTCCGACAAGATTCGATGATAGGGAGCTCAAAATGTCTGCACGATCTCAGGTGAGAGGAGTGAGAGGCTCCGAGAATCAGCAGCACTTCTCGGAAATTCGCATGTGCGGCACAATCTTCTTGTAAACGGCATGAGAATCGAAGTCGAGCTGCCTTGCCGGTCAACGATGGGGCAGCAGCAATTGGGTGCGAACCTCTGCGAAGGTATGATCTGCTGACGGCCGATAGACGGGATAAGTGACCGACTTGCAGAAGCGCATGGAAGGAGGAGCGCTACATACAGGAGGACTCTTAGGGATCACCTGATCTCGTTAACAGGCACAAGATCAGCAACGATGGCGTTCACGATCGTTGCTCACTGGAAGATTGATCGGTCGACCATCCGAGAGCTGCTGCACTCGCTTGTGAATGGCATGTGCAACGGCGGCAGCATGAAGCGCCTTGTGTGTCTGTAGATCTATCTCCTGTTGATTCACAGAAATCAGCAAGCCGCGATGTTGAATCTCATACAGTTACGTCAAGACTGGCCAATTCACGACTCGTGTCTGGAAGCCCGAAATGTTCGTTATCATGCTCAGCAACATGTCCTGCATGACGAGTGCATGAGAACTAGATAGAGAAGACGCGATGAGACGAAGCTATCTCACCAGTTGCAAGGATTATGCAGAGAAACAGAAAAAAAGCGAAAGAGAGAGGCAAAGCTGATCCAGACTTCATCCTGGTAGCCTGATCGCCAAGTACTATCTGAGCTCCGAGTCCATCCTGAGGAGACATCAGATGGTGTCAAGTAGATAATTCACTTGGGGACAAGGGCAAAAACAGGATTGATGCGTGTCAGGGCTTGTCACTGCCCGGACCTCTCATGCTACAAGAGACATGGAAGGCACTCTTCTTCTCTGATGCCCTGCTGTCCTTGTGCTGCTGTAAAGGCAGATCGCTCAATGTCCTCTCCTCTTCCCTCTCCTCCTCTCTTCTGCTGGCTCGTCTCCTTCTCTTCCACCTCCTCGCCCTCGCGATCCTCCGCCATGATCTCCTCCACTTGTAACCAGATTTAGACAAGCCCTCATCCCCACTCTCGATACTTTTTGGGGCTCAGTCGTCGGTACGGTGGCAGCGCCCGGGCTGAACTCAGTCACCGGCGTCGGCCGCCAGTCAGTGCTGCGGGGCCGCCGGGTCCCCGGACCGCGTGTCAGCGATCGGACCGCGGCCACGGCGGCCGGGGCGCGGCGGCTCAGTGCGCGGCCAGTGCCAGTGAGTGAGTGACGAGTCGGATCGGACGGCCCGGATTGGACAGCCGCAACCCTGCACATAAGGCTTACGGGACAGCATGGCTTCAACGTGACGGAAGAAATTTATTGCCCGGCCCCTGTTCGTTGAAAGTTACGCGCTAGTCTTCATCCGAATCAAAACGAATATGCTTCCTCTTTCTCCTGCCATTCTTGCACTGGTAGCTATGACTAGCTGTGTGCATCTCTGAACAATTCAAACACATCCCCGCCCGGTTCTTGATCAGCTCTCGCAGCATCATGGTGGCGTACTGTCCTGACTTGAGCGTAAACTTCATCTCGAGCACCTTGAGCGCTTCCATATTGGGAAAGCTTGCGAGAGGTGCTGCTTTTCTGGCCATGTTTCCGAGGACAGGATCTTCATGAATGGGTTGCGTCCGCATGTCCTCTGGACAACTCTTGTCAATGTTTGCAATGCTCCAGGTAAACTCTTCCGGCTTAGAGAACAAATGTCGATAGACGGGCCGCAAAAACAGCTTGTTTCCATGCCACGATCGTTCGATGAAATGAATCTGAGAGACTCCAAGGTCGTATGAGAGGTACATTCGGTACAAGTTCGACATCTCATTGTTGGGATATGCTGCATCTCCAGCAGGAAAGGGAAGAATCAGGTCAAAACGAGTGTACCTTTTGCTTTCAATGTCTTGGGCGCTCAAGACTTTAGTATTGGTTTTGCTGCTCCATGTCCAGCTGAAGTCTTCTAATTCTGTGTCTGAGCTCTCGACGTCGTTGACATCTGTGCTGTCCTCCACATCATCATTGTACACAAGATCGCCCACGACAGGATCGATGCCATACATCCTCAGTCGTTCACTTGCCATCACGTTCCAGATCTTGCCGAAGTAAGCATGAACCATAAGCATCCGCTTTTGGAGGGGGATCGAGAGAACTGTCTTCCGACAGATTTCGTGCAATGGCAGGCCCTTCTTGCCGAAGAACACCAGATGATCCAGCACGTCGCACTCTTGTCTCTTTGACTTGGGCATGATGTTGCGAGCCGTCGTTGCGTCTCTGGCATGTGTCCAAGCTTCCCAGGCAAGGTTCCATGCTCTCAGCTCCTTGACGTGCCTTTCGTCCTCATGTGGAGGCCTCAAGAGTGCGTCTACAGCTGTAATATAGTCTTGCATCAGAAGCAAACGCCCCATCAGCTCAGTTTCTGACGAACCTTTGCCGAACCTCTGCATGCCAAGGTAGTTGACGAAGCCATTCTCTGTGAGAGACTTCATTGCGACCTGAGTATGCTCGTCATCCGCTTTCAAGTCTCGCACGACTATCGTGAACTTGTTTCCATAATGCTGTCCTGGACGTTGAGGAGCATCAGCCTCTCGGATGTTGCTGATGATGAACTTGTCGAACTCATTCACCTCTTCAAGTCGTTCCTTGCTGACTCCGTAGACTGTCATCTCCTGTGTCGTGATAGCAAACGAATCCTTCAAGCCAAAGACAGAAAAATTGCTGAAGGGCACATTGAGAGCTGAAGAAAGCTCCGAGATGACCTCGAATGTGTCAATCATGGTTTTATGCAAGGTGAACTGAAAGTAGCAATCATCTTCGTCCCTGCTTGCCTTCACCACCGTATCATTGGGGTTTTCCAGTTCACCATGCGAAGAGATGATCTTCTCCTTCGAAATCTCTTGGACTATAAAATCCGATGGGACACACTTGATAACCCCCCCTATACCGAGAAGACGTGAGTCAGCAAACTCGCTGATCCCGACATCGTGTGGACCCAGTGACGAGAAGCGGCAAGTTGCGTCGAAGTCTGTCATACCTGAGCAACTCTCAGCATTCTGTCGGCAGCCTCTGTATGCCGCATGTCGCTCCTCTCCTCTTCTCCCTCACAGGCTCCCGGACAAGCGCGCAGGTGCCTGCCTGACTTCGACCGCACGTGCGACCATGCCACTGATTCCACAACTTGAGTGATCCGGCCGTTACATCGGAACGTTCGCAAGTAACGGATAGGACCGATGTGCCAGTGGCAGATGAGCGCCACCGCTATCGCTGTGCCTGTGCCGGTCGGCAGGGACGGGCATGCAGAGCGCTGAGCAGAGCCAAGGGGAAGGGGGAGGGGGGGAGGGTGGAGCTAGAAGAGAGAGCTAGAAGCGAGAGGTAGACGAGAGAGGGGAGACAAGAGGAACAGCGGTCAAGTTGAGAGCTGACGGCAGTCACCGACCCTGTGTAGTAGTAGTACTTAGCCTAGTCTCATTGCGGTTGTGTCCGTGTCCGTGATCGGGCAGGGAGATGGCGATGATTCCCGGCCCGTCTCCTACTGGAGCATCGAAGTTTGAGGTCAAGAGCACCTTGTCTCGGCAGCGGGTCAGCATCTTCGAGTCAGAGCTGAGCAGCCATGGAAGCAGCGCGGGGTTTGAAGCAACTCCAGCGCCAGATCTGTCGATCGCTCAGCCCTCCATTACAGTCATGCAGTGCAGATTGTGCAGTTGCACTTTCACAGAGTCTGGTCCTCGAATGCCCAAGATTCTCCCTAACTGTATGCATACCATCTGCGCGCAATGCGCGCGAGAGCTCACGGACCAGGTTCGCAAATGATGAGGATGAGTCATAACGTTTGACAATGATTTGGACAGAGATGCCCGCTGGATCACAATCAGATCCCCCTCAGATATACGACCAAGGACTTTCCAGATAATTTCATGCTGATTCAGCATATACAAGCCATGAATGTTCTCGAAGGGAAGGACAAACTCTGTGACGTATGCGATGAAGAAGATGCTGATGTCTCAACACACTTTTGTGTTGACTGCAAGCAATACTTGTGTGAGATTCACTTTTCAGCTCATGTGAGGTCCAAGACGAGCAAAACACATCAAGTGCTGACAGTGAACGACTACGCAAGCAGATTCCATCCGAGCGATCATGGCTGTTTGGAAAGAAATCACGTTTCTCCTTTATTCTGCCAGGTCTCAGGACATGAGAGTCAAAGATCGGATTTCTTCTGTGAGCTCTGTGAACAAGTTATTTGCACCACGTGTGCGCTTATGGACCATCGGGACCATGTGTTCGGAGACATCGAGGATGTGTACCAAAGGCAGAAGAGCGAGCTACATGAGAAGATCAATTTCAGCAAGGAGACCAGAACAAATATTGCAAACTCTTTGTCAAATGTAAATAGCGTCTTGCAGTCCTTGGAAGCCAACTTTGAGAGTGCTTCGTGTGATGCTGACGAGCTCATGGAGTCTATCGTGCAAAAGTTGTTCGAGAGGAAATTCTTCCTAATGAGCCAACTCAAGGAAATTTATGACGAGAAAAGAAGTGTTCTCCTCTCTCAGAGGCGCTTACTAAGCGATGCTCTCGTAAGGATTGACACGAGTCATTCGTTCTGCAGGGAACTTCTTGAGACAACAGACCATCAACGAGCTCTTGATATGAAGAGAATGGTACGTCAACACCCACAGAAGGTCCTGCAAGTCAACTTGCTGATGTAGTACCTTAGGTGAGACTGTCGTTGGAAGAAATTCCCAAGCTTGTCGCACACAGAGATCTCAGCCCCAGCATGGATGATGTCGTAGTCTTCAAACGATTGAATGAGAGCAAAATCATCGAAGACCTCGAGACTTTAGGTCGAGTCAGTAAGGAAAGGCCGCAAGAGAAAGCTTGTATCCCGCGATGGGATCAGAGCAGGCGAGGGCAAGACGTCATGCTGTCCAACGGGGACTCGACTGTTTATCGAACCGATCATCGAGGCTGGGGAGGAGTTCAAGGAAAGCAGGTGGACAAGCTCAATGTCTGACAGGAGAGACTGATGATCAGCAGGTGATCTCGAGCGGACAATATCGCATGAGAATCAGCATCGATAGTGTGGGCAACAACACGTTTGTTGGAATCTGCTATAACGATGCAAACCTCAACGAAGGCCCTTCCAAGAGTAAACCTCGCTAGAGAGCAAGATTGTTATGACGTTATTCCCAGGGAACATCCTACTGAGAGAGAATGGAGAAATTTGGCACCATGGTTAGTCCTCTTCTATGTCTGCTGCGCATTGCTTGCTGAATTTGGTGCAAGGTGAGAAGGTTGGAACCTGTGAAGGATTCAAGACAGCAGATGTGCTCGAGCTGGTGATAGACGTTGATGAGCAGAAGTTTCAAATCTTCAGGGATGGAAAGGTTTTGTGTACGGTTGAAGTTCTCACGTGGCCTGTGAGGCCATTCGTCGTGGTGGGAAGCCGGCATTCGTACATCACAATTGTGCCTTGAATGGACGGATAGAATGATATGCTGTAGAACCTTACTTGCACCTGGGGGATGCTGCTTTATCCTACATGACCCTGAACAGTCTTGAAGATTTCGGAATGTGTCTGAAGTGTGCCCAATGATCTTCCGTAGCGTCAAGGGAGTAATGTGCAGAGAAATTACATTTCACCAATAAAAATTCAAATTCCCACAACTCTCGCCCTTGGACTTCTATACACCGATCGGATTGTAACGCATTATCTTCTTCACCTACAGGGAGTTTTGTGTCAGCAGCACTGTGACAAACCGCATCTTGCTATGGCTCACCTTGGAGACCGTGCTCTCCATGGTTTTCTGCTTCTGTGCAATGTCATCGACTTTCCTGGACAAAGATCGCATCGCTGCGAGGATCGCCCTTCTCGACACCTCGTCATCGTGGCTTCTGTGTCTCCGTTGGGCAACACCGCCTTCTGTCAGCATCTCCCTCCTCCCTTGCGCTTGCTTCAGAGACTCCAGTCTCGTGAGGACTGACCGCGCTTGTGAAATCTCGCTCTCCAAATTACTCGGATGTATTCTATTGGACGTGGACGCACGTTTCGCAAGCAGGCGCAGGATGGCAGCTGTCTTAGAGTCAGCGGCACTCACAGGTTGCCCGTTAAGTGTGACAGCCCCATCTCCTGATATGTGCAACTGGAAATGAGGAGCAGACTGTTGTTGGACGGGTGCTTGATAGCTGGGCTGTGGCATGTTCCATTGCTGAACAGCCTGGTTGTAAGCTACTTGCTGCGACATGGGGTTCTGCAAGGGATAGTTTGAGAGCTCCTGCTGAGCTGATGTGGGAGCGGATTCTAACGCTTGGGAGGCAGCGGGGTTTGCAGCGGTGAGCTTCACGTACCCAGCGTAAACCCTCCCGTTCTGTTGCCCATAAGCATGCACGTATCCCTCGGGGTTCATCTGGGAATCCACTGTCAAGGTCATGGGTCCCTGCGCTGTCTGTATCTGCAACGTGGTTCCTGGGCCAACCTCGTACAGCTCATCCCTGTCGCTGTGTGCCTGCAAGAACCTATCAAACAGATCGAACTCGAAATGTTCAGATTCAGCTCGAGCAAGTTCAGTTCAAACCAGCTCAATCATCATGTGTCATAGAAATTTACTCACATCGAGATAGCGCGTCATCAGCAAGCATCCCGCAATCACCGCCGCCACCATCCCCCAGCCATGTCGCCGCCACGCCATGCTGTCTCTTCGTTCTACGTTACAACCAGCGATTGACAGTTACGAAAATCCTATCACTTTCACCCTCCTCCCCGCTATGACCCAGGGAGCTGTGGAGCTTCTGTCTCTTCGGCGATGATGGGGAGGGAGCGGCTAGGGATGATGAGGAGGCTGGTCGGCTGCTCGGCAGCGCTCATGGCAGTCCTCCTCGTGTCATTTTTATGGAGAGAAAAGCCGCATGCTCCGCGAGTAGCGCTCGAGGACAACCTTGCCTCCTTCCTGCAGCAAATGGAAGGAGAAACATTTGAGAGCCCTGACCAGACTTACCGTCAGTCGCTCAAGGGTTTCAGGTCGGAAGAGAAAGATCCTCATCTTGGCATGGCATGGGCAAATCCATCATGGAAGGGATTGAAATCGACACAGAAGAGTCAGGCCTCGGAGCACTCCAGCTTGAATCAGCTCGAGGACAAGATTGTCAATGATGTGGTTAGAAAGCTCGGCAAATCCCTTGAGGCGAAGATTGGTGGCAAGCAACTTCTCTCTCCTGCACACAAGGCTGCTACGAATCAGAACAGCTTGTCAAGGTTGTCCCGTACGATGGTATCCCTGACGTAACCATCTGCTTTAGGACACTGCGATCTCGCATTCAACACGACAAGGCGAGCCTGGCCAAGTACATTCAAGCCGGGGAGGAGAGGGAGCAAAGGCTGAAGAATGATGAGCAGTTGTTGAAGTGGGTCCATGCTCACAAGGGGTATGCGATCTTGTTTCTTGCTCTATGTTGCCCTTGAGGGCGTCGTGACTTGAGTGCAGCAGCAAGCTCAGCATGAATTCGAATGGGTTGGTGTATGCTCACCCGTAATGACTCTCATTCTTTGAGCGAGGGTTTGACATCTCACTGTCTTGCAAGGTCCGATGTGATTCCGAGTCAACCTGCTAGTGGGCCGAGCTCCGTTGACAACTACATGAGGGGAGCCAGACATCTGAGCGAGAAGGGGCCAGCAGGAGTGAGTAGAAGCTGTTCAGATATGGGAGTACTGAATGCTGCCCAAGGTGAAGATTGAGACGCAGAATCCAGAGCCGGAGTCTTACATCGCCGACAACGTGTACGATCCGAACAGGCAATGCGTTCAAAGATCGTTCAGTTCTGCATTAACGGTCGGGCCTGTAGGGAGAAGCTGGAGAGCCTTGGAGTCAACGTGCGAAACAGGTGAGACACGATGGCATGTGGGAGCCGGTTGGGATGCGTGACTGCGTGACTTTAGGCTCTTCCCCAATTGGTCGGTCGATGTACCTGGAAGTGCGCTCCTTCCGGATCGGCGAACCATCAAGGTTTGTGCCGCAGAAGCTTTCGCTGGTTTCGTGTGTACTGATGGGTTTACTCGTTCTGACAGTATGACAATGGTGAACAAGCTCTTGAAAAAAGTGGAATCGTCACAGACAGCGTAGCGGGTGATATCTCTTGGGTGTGAGTTGATCTATTGAACGTTTCATCAGGCATGGGCAAGCATTACAGGAGAGCAATTCCTCTTCCTGCGTATGAGAAGGACCCCAACCCGGAAAGAGCAAGGTTGAAATTTGATGTAAGGCTGAAGCAGCGTCTGATACATGTGTAGCATGGACCTGGAACAAGGTCATCGCTACGTGAACAAGCATGGAGAGAGACTGCAGGAAGTCTTCGGAGTTCCCCTCGCTTCACCGAACGCCTTTCTTTACACGTCTCAGTCCTTGAAAGGACCTCATATGGACTCGAAACAGGTACTGATTCATGTGGGACCGTGAGTCGAGTCACGAGCATCTCCAGAGCGAATTCCCTTATCTGGATGGTTTGGAAGACAACATCCAGTCCAAGAGTGAAGCTGAGAAGCATGAACCGCTGACATCGCTCGTCAACAACGTGATGAGATTCAACTCACTACGTCTGGCCTCTGACTTTTCATCTCATAGTTGCGCAAGGGCTCCTCTAAGCTCGAAGGTCACGGGGTGAACGTGTGGGGTGCACAGCCAAGTTTTGCTGGGACGACTCAGGTAGGATGGAGGAACGGCTGTCAGAGGGGAGAAGAGAGAAGTTGTGAGGGTTGGATGACTCTTGTGCGTAGGAACTTTGGATGTCTCCTGAGACACAGTAGGTCGTCGTCACCAGTAGCAACGAGATCCTTTTGTCCCAACTCTCTTGTTAGATACCTTTTTTTAACCATCTTCGAATTACATGGAATATCTGCTCTCTGAAGGATTAACTGTTGTCACTGTTACTCGTGCAGCGATACAAGTTCGTAATAACTTCTTCCCACCTGCGTCGAAGTTGCTGCCGATCATCCAGAAGACATTGTGAGGATACATGAGAGGAAACACAGCCATTGCCATGATTTTTTTAATAAAACATTTATCCCTCTGTTTACAACCGTTGAATTTGATGATAACATCCTCACCTATGTATGCACACCCGTTCCATAGCTCGCAAATCAAATCTTACAAGAAAGAATTATCGACTATACGCCATGATCGTCCATCGAGGCTGCAATTTGCTCATTGAAGAAGGACCAGACAACGACTGATCGAGGATGAGCACATGTATCTCCTGTTTGTTTCCCTACCCTGTCAGACACAAACACAAGCAAGCAGGTCACATCTCACCATCAAACGTGTCAGATAGGTGTAAACGCGGGGATTGCTTGCTGGTATGCAGCCTGAGTCATCGACATGACAGGAGATCTTTAAGATATCGTCACTTGTCCATCTGAAATTTCTCAGCCCGCGTTTACCTTCCATGGATAGGCGGAGACCATTGAGGTTCAATGCCAGAGGCCATACCCATGTTAATAGCATTGTTCGCACTGTATTCCATAGCTGGAAATGCATAAGCATTCCTCGCGCCCCCCTGCCAAATGTTACATGGATTAGAATCCCAAAGATACTGCGAACCTGTACGTAGTTGCCGCTGATCAGTAATTCATGGAACGATCTTTCCACACATCCCTGACACCTCCGTCATAAGCCATTTTTCCCGGAATCAAAGACCACCTTCAAATCAGCATAACTGACAACCAAAATTGTGTTTTCGTCTGGTGACATCAAGAGAATTTTTTCACTGACACCAACATCCAACTTGTTCAGTCTTTGAACAACCTGACAAGAGATCAGCCAGAATACGCTCGTTGAAATTCGTAGAACAAATTCTCTTTAGGATTGAAAACACAAGTAATTGCACTCACCGCCCCCCAATCCACCACTGGATTGCCACCGTCATCTCTTTGATGAAAAACGTAGTCCATGAAAAGCTTCAAAAGATATCTGCCAAGTCGAAATTTAGGACAAGTTGAGACACAGCTTGCACATCACACCTATCCCCAGTTTCTGACCATGAAGCCGCGGCAGGTGTTCCAGGTTGTGGACGTTCAATGATCATATTCAATTTGACCAGTAATCTGATAAGAGTAAGGATTGAGGAATATCAGTTGCTGGCAAATACCGAAAAAGCCTTCCATTTTGTATTTCTTTCGTCAATTCAGTGTAGCAGGTGTCGATGTGTTGATACGTGAAATCAACCTGCAACGCGCATCACACTTGAATTTGCCATTTGAGCAAGGCAAACTAATGCGATTCAATCACCTGCTCGAGAAGTCTTCCTGAAATCCTAGCACAAGCTGAGAATATTGAGGTAGGAACTTGACCAGGACCGGCAGGCTAGAAACAAAAGATGTCATTCATTTATATGTCAAATGGCCTTCATGTGACCTGAGTGATAAGGTAAACAATGAAGTCTTTCAAATCCGCAGGGTAGTGAGCACTGATATAGTCAACTGAGGTAGATAAGTTGTGCGCCTGGAAAAGTAAAGGATCGAGATGTCAATTTGAAGTTGAGAAGCGAAGTCGGAAAACAAAATCCTTATTACCAGACAAGCTTCGGGGGACCTGCAGAGTGTCTGCAGCAATAATGTTCCCAAATTTCTGAGGTCTTCAGACTGATTCAACCTTGCGTCAAGACATAATCAACCATCACCAAAAAACAACACCTGAAGTTCAGTGATATGTTGTTTTTTGTCACCGATCACTAAAGTATTATCAGTGATTATGAGCTACAAGCAGTAGAAGCTAGTTCACAGACCATCAAGAATTCCGCAGCAGTTGATGTATACTCGATGTTGAGGGGTGACTAAGACCTGCAGCACGAATCAATTCACAAAATCCTAAAACAAATTAAACAACCTTCGATGCATCCAGGCAACGTATTGCTTTCCCACGACTATCGCATCAACAATAAATAGATTATTCACGAGAAGAACAAGGTATTGCCTATGAACAAAACGTAATGCTGACGATAGTTGTGCAATGTAGGACCAGATAAGCTCCTCAGAAATGTCCCCTATCTCACCAGCCCCAACTAAGAAAGCAGAAAGTAAGCATTCACAATGACAAAACGATTTGGTCCACAACACACTTGGTCGCATGTGTCTTTCTTGAAGGGTCATAGCACCAAAAATAAAATCATGAACAAATCTGCAAAAGCGTGAGGTGCACAAAGCAAGAAACGAACAGAAAATAGTACGTAAGTGAATTGTTCTGATGGTCCCACTCATTGGTTATAAAAATGTTCTTGAGTCGTACAAGTGAAGGATGAATCATGTCTTGCCAATTCTAAGAAACAACATCAGACAACGCTTTTGCGGAGCAGGACCCTACCTTCATAACAATCTTGTGATCCACGTATATTTTGACCCCATCAAGCTTGCGAAGGGCACAAGTAGCTGAGCAAAACAACGATCAGTCGTCAACTCAACAGAAATCATTTATGAAACCAAATAGCACCTGCATCTAAGCTTCGGATGGCCTTGTAAACACGAGATGTGCACCCGAGAGCTACACTGATCTGAAGTATCAAAGTAGTTAGTCAAATACAAAAATACTGAATTGAGCGCAGAAAAAATCCACCTCTGGTTCTTCGACATTCCCATCCAAAGGGAAGAGAGTGTGATATTCTACAAAAATTGTGTCAAGAGATATGAACATGCAATCACTTAATACCTTCGCTAAGATTGTTGGGTCCTATTCCTCTCACTACATGTGGAGTGAACGAAGCCCTTGGGTCATTCGGTCCAAGCATCAATGCTGTCTGGGCACTCCGTGTTGCGAGATCACTCCTTTTAGCATTCAAATTAGCACACAATATCCATGCAAGGAACATTTCTATCACCTCAATTGTTCGGGGACAAAGAAATCTGCCATTGTGCGTTGCGTTTGACGTCGAACTCTTCCTCCTGGCCTGCCTAGACCATCGCCTATCATTCAATCAATGATTTTAAAACACAAGAAGATCGATGATAAAGACCAGCAAAGTTCGTTGAACTCGCTCGTTCTATCATCTGTTGCTCCAGAGTCGCGGCGGCTTGTTGTTGCTGTCATGCAATTGATCAGCTCTTGTCTTCGTTGGAAATAGAAGACATCACTTGCAAAAGAAAGCTTAATGCAGCTGGTGAAAACAAGTCTGCGTTTGAAATTTGATTGGGAGTGAATCCTGGTCCAGCATTCGGAAGTGCATTAGCAATGCTGGCAGTGAAGTTTGCCAAAGCATTCGAATTGCTGATTCCCCTCCCTAAAACAAAGCAAAGTCACGTATCAGAAACATATTGTGAAGAAGCGATTTTCGAGGCCTAAGATATGACTCGTGTGATACCTGCTGGGCGATGACTTGCCGACGCCATTTGATACCCATGGGAATTGTTCGCGACTTGATTGAGATTTTTCATCCCAAACCCCGCTGTGTTTGTATGTACACCCATGGAATTGTTAGGCAATCCTGATACCGGCACATTTGACGTGGTTGGAGTAGTAATGCGCACATCTCCACCTCTTGGAAAAGTTTGAACAGGGACAGGTGCATTGTTCTGCATGCTATTCATTAGATTGTTTGTCGTGACGCCACCTCCAATCTCCTGGCGTCCGACAGTCTGCTGTACGACCCTGCTTCCACCGGGTACACTTGCTCCCACCCCAGATCCAGGTGTTGTCGTTGTCCCTGTTGCTGCCCCTGTGCTTGGTCCTCCCGCAACTCCGCCTCGTGCTCCTCTCCAGCCACCTCTTCCCCCTCTATTCCCTCTTTGCATTACAAACTCTGCGGAGGCAACATCAATGCACCTGAAAACAAATATCGTCAACAAAGACTGGTAATGAGCAGTCAAGAATAGCTATCCATTGATGACCTGACCAAGGCACAACAGAGCACAACATCGTCAAGAGATCACGATATCAGAAGGTTCAACTGTTTGGTGGAATATCAACACCAAGCACGAGTGGAGGTAAAACAAGCTTGAAAGAAATAAGTGCATGATATGGTGAAAATTCTTTGTTAGATCAAAACAGTTTGGGCGCATCGGCGAAACAAACGCCTTATGCGAGAAGCCGAAAGGTGTAACGAGCTTTCTGTCTCCTGGGTAGAAGGAGGATGTGATGGGATCAATCATAGTAGGACAGGTAGACTCAGAATGGAGATGAAATTGGTGAAAACGAGGGAATGATCAAGAGAAAGAGTGTACTTTATGAGGTCATAGGTCGCTTGAACAACACACCATGGTCACTAGTCCTATTACGGGTTCCCCATGCAAGCCTAGGAAGAGGGAGCGAGGCACATGTGTGAGTGACTTCATGAAGGAGGAGAGAACAGGTCAGAGACAACATGGTGCAAGGAAGAAATGGTTGAGAATGCTGCGGGATCAATCAGTGAAGCGAGGAGTAGGCATGATGCAGAGCTTTGGCGGCGGCAAGGGAGGTGGGGGCGGAGCATTTAAAAATGAATTTGTACCAAAATTTTAAGTTCATTGCTTTCATATTAAATACTCATATAGTTATTGTAAACTGAGATGATAAATGTGCTACCACTGGAATTAAAGGTACTAATTTGAAGGGATATTTGTACAAAATAATCTACAAATAGTTTTAATCGGCAATAATCTGATCTGTGAGTACATCAAAGAAAAACTTTTATTAGAAAGTTTGGTGGAAAGGGCATGGGTTGTGTTGAAGCATTTCGTTGGGGTGGGATAATACCTCCCCAAGTACCGGTGATATTTCCGACTTTATTTGCTATGAATATTGGTCCCATCAAATCATCCACCCCATGATAATTACTACCCCACCCATTCAATGGATTCAATTTTGCCAAAAACTGTGATCGTACCAGAATGAACTAGCAAACTGTACTTATTAATTATAACTTAGTACAATTCTTTGGAAGATAAAAAGTAGTTATAGAAGTATGATTTTGCAAATGCGGAAACATTTTTAAATATTCATATTACTTTTAGTCAAACATGAGATTTTGGTACTATTTTCTAGTTAATCATAATATGATGGTAAGAGATTCTTAGTTGAGTATTTTTTTGTTGAACCTAAAACGATTTCAATCGAGTTAACCCGCCTAACCTGTTGATTTGATCGAGGGTTCGAATCGAATCCATGCAGGAATTTGAAGCTTCCGAAGGTCCAAGGCATGGAACGGACGGTATCAGACTTCCATTCTTTTTTCTTCTTGAGGGGGTACCCCACTAGGCTACTATCACTTTTATGGAATTGGTTTCAATATTTGTCTCAATTATCTGAATTTTGGCTATAATTTCATATAATTGAGTCCAAATTTTCACGCGGAAAACAGAATTTTGGGACCTGCCTCCAATATAAGGGGTGGTGGATAGGAGTCACAATGGACCACCTCAACATTGTGAAAAAGGACGTCTAGAAGGGGGTGGTCTTGTATTCTTCTAATTTGAGTAAAAGAATCGATCGCTTGTAGGAGGGGCCCAAGAGCGCGCGTTGTTTCCCCTTCGCAATTAATTCACGGCATGCGCGCAGCTTGTTCCTATTGTGGGCCCTCGCTTCGTGAATACCCTGTAGCTATGAGTTGATTTCTGTACATGCAGTCTGAGACAGTCTGGACCATACTAGTAGAGAGCTGGGAGGTGCTTTCAAGGCCATGCAGTTTTGAAATGTGAGCGGGTGGGTTGCGAATAGAAGAGTAGCTTTAGTTTCTTCAAAGCTTAGCTGGGAGCAAGCAATACTTGAAATGACCTGGAAAATTACATACGATCAATGATCATTTAGTTGATCCTTCTTTCCGATTTGTTGTTTTCTCGTATGTGATCATCCAAACATTGGAAACCTAAATCTGCTGCAGGATTTTCATGCAGAACGCAAATTACTTTGATTTGGACAGAATACTCTGTGAGGAAGAGGTGCAATGACCGTCATATCTCTGTGGCGGGAAAGATTAATTCGTACTCCAGGGTATCCCTGTTGAATTTGAGCATGGCTTCAATCAATCTGTATCAGAACTTTTTGAATCTAAAAATCCCGATCAGGTCAGTGCATCGAGAGGTGACAGAAAAGTGCTAAGTATCCATCAAGGTTCGCACTCTCCCCCTTTGGATGACTCGGGATCTTGCTTCCAAGGGGTAACATTGTTAAATCTTATGACAGCAGACTTATTTGCATTGCTAGGTATGTGCAAGCGGACATGCCCAAGGAGTTCAAACAAAGAATGCTTTCCAAAATCAAGGCAGGGGCAACAACTGTGAAATTCAATCGCAACCCATATTATTATGATCTGGGCATTGAACTTGCATTGGTAGAATGACTATGCTCTGTCTTTATAGAAAAGTTACTTTTTGTGGAAGATGGATGGTACTCAGGAAGGGCTACAACTGATTCAACGATTGAATACTGCCTTTGCACAGAGATATCAAGTTATCTTGGATCGATTTAACAACACAGAAGACAAGAATGCTTCCAAATTTGTTTCTACGCTTACACTGTGCGAAAGGAAGCGTAAGGAGTACTCTTTTCACACAAACTCTTCTAATCTTTGCTGCAGTTTATGCTACTGGTCAAATGAGCTGTCTCCACCATACGCAATGGAAGAAGAGAAGAATGGAAACCATTGAGCATTCACATATCATCAGCATGGCAAAGCGATCCAGAACCTACCCGTGATTTGAGGCTCTCTTGTACATTTCAGATAATCGTGAACTTCATCCACGGATTTGAGAAGATTAACTTAAAAAATCCGGTCAAAATTCTTTCACATTCCATTAACAGCAGGGTTGCACTGAGAGATGAAATTATTCTTTAGAACGTATCAGATAGGACTGAAGTGTGCTTTCCGAATAAAATTTCTAGTACTGATTCGAAACGACCAACGACTCCGACCGAAAACTCAGTACCGAATACCGTACCAGGATACGCCGAATACAGGCCGCTTTCAGTCAGTGAGGCAAAGTTCAGTGTCTGCCCCGCCAACGTTCGGTGGCAGTGTAACGGGTCCGGGCCGTGTGAACCGTCGGGGGGCTGCCAGCCCCGTTGCGGCGAACGTACTACGTGCCGCTGTAGGCAGTATCAACTTCCCGGAGTCCGGGGTTGGAGCCTGACCCGGTGACTCAGTCACGGTAGGCCCTGAGCGGCCCGGCCCGGCGGTCGGCCCGGGGCGCCGCCACCAACAGGCTCGGAACTTCTTGCCGCGTGCTTGCTGTGCAGAGCCGGTCGCTGAGGCCGGGCTCGCCGCGTGTCGGGGGCCGGGTGGCCGGGCGTGCCGGCCTGCCCGGCCACGCACGCCCGAGTCAGCCCGGGCCGGCCCGGCTCCGACAGTCACTGCCCGGCCGCTGGCCACTAATACTTGAAGTAAGCCTTGAAGGTTTCTGACTCGAAGCCTGGCCCGTGGTTATTGCCCCTTGACTCTCAGAGAGTGGTCCATTTACTCAAAGACAAGTCAAAGATCAGTACGAGGATAAGTATGATCAGGAGAGGCGAGGAGGCTTGACACTGTCGCACAGGCCAACCGGCGAGAAGAGAGACAGCGAGAACCACTGAAACCTAATCCTGCCGACTGCTGTCCCCCTAACCGTTAACTGATACCCCTGAGGCTGTACGGTCGCACAGGCCACCGTGACGGCGAGAAGAGAAAAGACAGCCGCTGAGCGAGAACCAATCATGAATGCCGAGACGGTTGGTGTGCCAGTCAGGGCGTGACTCGTGAAAGTTGAAGCCAAGTTTTCCGGAGTGAAACCGCCACTTGTAACGGTCCGACTTGGCTGGTTCAAATTTTGCTGGGAGGGCGGAAGAGGGGCCCAGAGACGGTAGGGTACTTCTTGGTAGGAGGACGGGGTAGTGAGGTTGAAAAAGGCGGGAGATTGCAGTACCACAAACCTACCATGTGGGCGGGCGCGGAAAATGTTTCAATGATCCTTTCGCCTGCTGCTCTCTCCTCTATTCTATCTCTCTCCTCTCTCCTCCCTCCTCTCTCCTCCCTCCTCTCTCCTCCCTCCTCCCTCCTCCCTCCTCTCTTCTCTCTTCTCTCTCCTCTCTCCTCTCTCCTCTCTCCTCTCTCCTCTCTCCTCCCTCCTCCCTCCTCCCTCCTCCCTCCTCCCTCCTCCCTCCTCCCTCCTCCCTCTAGACGGACGCAGGATCTGCCTTGGCGATGACTTATTGCTCTGGGTTCTCGGACATTAATTGCGGTTCTTTCCCCGATTTCCAGAACGTTTGATTCGGGTGCTGCGCTTCCTGTGGATTTTGCAGCATTTCCACAACAACTGTTGGTCACGAACGTGGATCGTCGATGGTCGGATGGAACCCCTGTGCCTCCTGCAACCATCCTCTAATTTCTCCAAAAAGTACGTGCCGGTCTTTTGAAATGGTACCTGATGGTCTCTGGACTTCTCGACCTCTGCTCGAAAGAAC